CTTTTTACCGTAAGCGAAGTATTTAGTATTATTCGATTTCGATCCTTTCTTATCTTTCTACTAGGATTATGCTACGTTTAGATCTATCTCGTCTAGATTACGCTCGTCGCTAGTAGTCGTTCTACTAATATAGTTTATAATTATTAACCCTCGCTTAAAATTAATAAAATAGTTAATAACGCCCCGTAGATCGGTCGGAGGGTTACGTTCTTCCGCCTATCTCTTCTATAAGTTAGTATTTACGCCCGTTCGGAGGTATTAGATAATAATATCCTCCTATATCTTAGGATTATACTCGGATATAGCCTACTAGAGTTCGGTAGTATACCGCGTAAAAGTCTTTCGGCCCTATTTATATAATATAAAACGGTCCTACTTCTTTATACTACTAAGATACTCCGAAAACTTATATAAGATCTAATCCTAGTAGACTTACTAGGTCTCGATCTTTTTACCGTATAAGTTCGCGAGCTATCGCTCCTAGCGATTATTAGTATAGCCGGTTAAGGCTCCGCGAGTATATATAACCTTATCTTTATTATTAGGTTTAATACCCGCGAATCTAGCTACTTCCGCGAAATAACGCTTATAATCACGAAGATAATAGCGTACGGCTTTATCCGGAATACTGCTATCGTACTCCTTAATCTTTCTGATATATTTTAGAATAGTTTTTTTTATCTCCTATCGGGCCTAATTAAAAGGTACTAATAGTCCTATAGTAGCCTACGGTAGAGGTATAGGTACCTATATAGCCGGTTACGCCGGAACGGGCGCTTACGGCTAGGTAGCTACTTTATAAATTACCTAGGCGGTCTCTTTCGCTATCTCTTTATAGATACTAGGATTAGCGTTATTTATAATCCGCTCCCGGTAGGAATCGGCTAGGTTCTTTAGTAGATAACTAAGGGCTTCCTCCGTAACGGGAGTAATTAGACGTATCTATCCTAGGCTAGTAGCTACGGTGCTTTCTATAATAAGATAAGTTCTTTAAATAAGGGTTCTAGATTAAATAAAATTTAGATATAGTTAAGGTATTTCTAGTCTAAACGTTTACGTTTATAGCCGATCGGGGTCCTTAACGATCTCTTTTAATCCTTTATCTTTTACTTCCGATCCTCGGTATAGACTAAGTCTACGTACCCGAGGGTAAACCTCCGGAAGGATACCTTATTACGGGGTAATCTAAAGTAATTAGACTATTCTATCCGTTTCTCTATCTTCCTATTATAGTCGGGAGGTATCGTATACGTACTAATATAATCACTCGTAGATCCTTATATAGTAGTAAAAGGTTTCGGTCACTGCTACTTTCCTAAGGACCCCGAGGTCGCCGATATCGCCGACCGTAAGCTATCGCTCGCTAGGTCTTAATACCGTACTACTACACTAGAATAGATAGAAGAAAGGTTCTTAGAGCTCCTAATTAACCTAATTTTTCCCCTACTCTCTCCGTTATATAGAGATCGCTTTAGGAGGACCTCCCGATGGTTAAGATTCACTATACGGTTAGGCCCTCCCGTAAGCGGCCGTAGAAGGCTACTTAGTTTTAGAGGTTTGCTACTATATAAGATAACGGGAGTATAAGAGTATATTCTATTATTATCGTAAGCGAATATGTCTATAAGGACATAAGTGCGGTTAAATATGGCAGAAGGTACCCGTAAGGGGCCGAACATATAAGGTTAAAGGAAGGTAAAGTACGCCCAGGATCACAATTTATTAAATTAAGCTAGATTATTTAGTCTAAAATAAATAGGTTTATTTATTAGACTATTTTAGTTTAATCTTTTTATTAAATAGTATAACTTTTAGTTTCTTAAGAAATTTATTTAAGTTTAACTAAATTATATATATAATATATAGAATTTAGAAGATTAAAATATCTAGTTAGTTTTATAATTAGATAGTTTTTTAGATATTTATTATTAAGATATTATTATTAGTTATATTATCTATTATTATAGATAATATATAATTAGTAATTCTATAATTAATTAGAAGCTAAATAATAGTCTTATTTAGATTTTTATTAGTATAAAATCTATAAAAATACTTAAATCTAAAAAGAATTTTATAGTAATTCTAATCTTAATTAAAAAAATAATCTATAATAGCTATAAAAACTTATTAAAATAGTAATATTTAGTAATTAAATATTAATAAAAAATAACTCCTATTTAGAAGCTTTCTAAGAATCTCTTTCTAGTTATTTTTAACTATAGAATTAAGATAATATTATATATTTTATATAGATAATATATTAATCTTATTTTAGATTTATTAAATAACTTTTACTAGATTCTTAAATTAGATATATTTAATAATTTAGAAAGATAGATAAATAGTAAAGATAAAATCTAGTATTATTTTTACTAGATATTTTTAGAAGAAAGATTAGCTTTTTAGGATAATTAGTTTTAGGATAATTATTAAGATTAGTAAAAAAGATCTTAAGAGTCTAAATAATAGAGTAATATACTATCTATTTTAGTAACTAATTAACCCTCTAGATAACTAGCTTCTAAATATAAATACTTATCTTAATATATATATTTATTAGTAATAACCTAGTATAGCGATATCTTAGATAAATAAAAATATAGAGATATAATATATATATAATCTTTAGCTTACTAGTTTTCTTATATATAATCTAATTAAAATTATCTTAGATATTTAATATCTTTTTACTATCTTAATAGATAGAATCTTATATATTAGATATTAATCTAGATACTATAGTTAGCTATTATTTTATAAAATATTTATAAGATTTATCTATCTTACTACTAGGCTTAAGAAAATAGAGGACTTAGTACTACTAAAAAAAAGACTAATATATATAAATAAAAAAAATATAATTAAAGATAAAACTTAGGATATAGATATTAATAGAGTATAGCTACTAATAAATTTAGAGATATTATCTAAATAAAATAGATTAGGATTTAGATCTAGATCTAAATTAGTATAGAAAGAGTAATAAAACTAAGATACCTATAAATAAGATATATTATACTTAATTACTAATTACCTAGAAATAAGCTATAAAAAAAAAGAGAGAGAAATATATATATAAAAATAGCTAAAAATATTAGAGATATAGTAAATAAACTATAATTTATAAATTATAGATATATTTTTAATATATCTCTTACTTTTAATAATAATAATTAACTATTATTAATTACTAGTATAAATATTTAAAGATAATTATAGATATCTATAAATATCCTTAACTTTACTACTATATTTATACTATCTACTATCTATAATATTAGAATTTCTAACTGGTAATTTTTAGAAAATAGATTTAAAAACTTAATATATTTAAAAAATAGGCTTAGATTATTAATTTTAAGCTAGACTAATTAGATTTAACTAGGAAATAGCGAGTTTAGTTATAGATACTTAGTTTAGATAAAAGATCTTATATTACTATCTTAAGTAAATATATATTTCTATAGTAAAATAAAATAGAATAATAAAAAATTATATATATCTCTTAATATATATTAAAAATAAGATTAATACTATAAATAATAATAAAGTTAGGATTTTATTAGTTAATATAAACCTATTTCTTAATATTTTATTAAGAAATAGGATAAATAAGGCTAGTAGTATAGTTAGGACTAAACCTATATATCTTTTATTCTAAAAAATAAATTAATAAACTATATAAGAGATATATAACTACCCCTAAGTAGATAATTAAGCGAGAGTTATACTAGTACGGATATCCTTAATATCCTCGCGGATATTTATAGATATCTACAGATATCCTTATTGAGGATATAGTATAGAAGTAATATCTATTATCCTCAATTTACGGATATAGTATTGAACCTAATATCCAATAGAGAGGATATGCCGCAGTCTAATATTTATACATTGTTTTATGCACGAATAGGCAGGTTTGGACAGGTTTGGGACTTAGTGTGTACGGGCTGGGCTGGACTGGACTTAGCGTAGTTGGACTTTGGACACTAGGGGGCGTCCGTCCATGGACGGACTCTGCCGAGGTCTAGATAGTCCCCAACAGGATACTAATCCCTAATAGTAGATATTATGATGCCGCTCCATCACTGAAAATGCCTGGTATAGACATCTTAAGTAGTCAGTTTGGATTCTAAAGCACCGCTGGGCTCTTTGATTAGTGTTGCTGGGCAACAAGGGGGGGCCAAATATCTGCTGATCCGACTGTAGGGTTCACTATCCTTGTCAAGGCGGTTAGGAGCGGTTAGCAGCGGCGAGACAGCGCGAAAATGATCTACTGCGTTGTTTTTCAAATTAGCGGCACTAATCGCTCAATAATTAATGAGAAGAGCTGGTCTCACAGCTAGGTTCCAAACCATCCTTCGAGCCGGGCGTCAGAGCACGGGGGCCAATCGAGCACGGGGGCCAATCAGGGGAGGCGCGTCTTTATCAGTGGCGGCCCTTGGCGAGAACTAAGAGGATTTGCATCTGTCGGGCAAATCTCTCCAGAAGCTTATCGGTAGCGCTCCGCGAGTAAGGATCGGATCACACCAAAGGGCCAAGCAATGGGGCGTCCTCGCACCTCTCGTATTCCAAGGTTGCTCTGAGCCTGCGACTAGCGCGGGTCCTCCCGGGCGACGGATTCTGAGTTACCATGCTTAGTGTAGCTAATCAAAGCGACAAGCAAGATAACGATTCAATATCTGATTCGATTCTCCACCCTTCCCCCACTCTCCCTCGAGGCATGGGTGCCCCAGAGCTACAGAGCATGCTAGCACCTGCATGGGAATGCCGACCTTCGAGAACCTCGCTTTATTCGAGAAAATTTCTCCTTGTGGTCTAGGGGCTTATGTTCTTATCGGCTTGCATGATGTCGGGCGTAGCTGCGACGCTGCCCCCCTGAACCTGCCACCCGGATTTGATTCTACATAAAGAGACCCGATCGTCACACTTTCATTGCTGTTCTATTCCTCGTGATCCAGCGCTATCGCAGTCGGACGATCGATCCTCCAGCAAATATGACCTCGTCGGATCATGATATCGAGAAGAAGGCGGAGGTGGTCGTCGCCCCCGCCGGCGAGACACTCGCTCCCTATGAGACCTCCAACGGTGCGATCGTGGAGGAGATTCAGCCATTGAAGCGTGCGCTCAAGGGACGCCATATGCAAATGATTGCTATCGGTACGTATCCCAAATCAGGCACCCTGTCATGTATTGGGGAATGGTCCTCGACTAATACATGGAAAATTGCACAGGAGGTGCTATCGGTGCTGGTCTCTTTGTCGGTACTGGAGGTGCTTTGGCATCGGGTGGTCCTGGTGCTCTGGTAAGTGCATCTCTGCTATCTTCAGTCGGATGGTATAGGACTAACCTCTCTTGTTACGCGGCAGCTTATCGGTTACCTGATTGTGGGATTCATGCTTCTGTTGACGATTCAAGCCCTCGGAGAGTTGGCCGTTCTCTATCCGGTCAACGGTGCCTTCTTCCAATACTGCGTCCGCTTCATCGATCCGGCCTGGTGCGTATCCAGTCCTCGTTCCTTATCCATCTCTTTATGTTCCATACTGAGTTCCTTTCCAGGGGTTTCGCTGTCGGATGGGATTACGCCATCGGATGGCTGATTATTCTCCCATTCGAGATCACTGCAGCCGGTATCACCATCGAGTTCTGGCGACAAGATATCAACATCGGCGTCTGGGTTGCCGTTTTCTTGTTTGTACTGTCTTTCATCCAGATTTTTGGTGTCAGAGGATATGGTGAAGGTGAGACCCGTTCGCCTCCACCCCAACGTCATGAGTGAATGTTAATTTTGCGTAATCTATAGTTGAGTTTGTCCTCAGTTTGATCAAGGTCACGGCATTGCTGGGATTCATTATCCTGGGTATTGTCATCGACTGTGGTGGCGCGCCCAAGGGCGAGTACATTGGCGCTCGCTACTGGCATGATCCCGGTGCCTTCACCACCTTCAAAGGCTTCTGCTCCGTCTTCGTGACTGCGGCCTTTGCCTTCGGAGGCACTGAAATGAGTGGTCTGGCTGCTGCTGAGGCCGCTAACCCAGCCAAGTCGATCCCTAAGGCCACCAAGCAGGTCTTCTGGCGTATCACCGTTTTCTACGTTCTCGGGACTTTCATCGTTGGCTTGATCGTACCCTCCAATGCCGATTACCTGATGAACGCGTCGGGTGCCCACACCGCTTTCTCTCCATTCGTCAAGTCTATTCAAGATGCTGGTATTGTTGGTCTGCCCTCGGTAATGAACGCGGTCATCACGATCTCTGTTATCTCCGTCGCCAACTCCGCCACCTTTGGCTCTAGCCGCACCATTCAGGCTCTGGCTAGCCAGGGCATGGCTCCTAAATTCATGGCCTATATCGATAAGGCTGGTCGCCCTCTCTGGTGTATCGTTCTCCAGATTGCCTTCGGATTCCTGGCATTCATCAACGAAGCCAGCTCTGGCTCCACGGTCTTCAACTGGCTCCTGGCTCTCTCCGGCATCTCCAACTTCTTTATCTGGGGCAGCATCTGTTTCGCTCATATCCGTTTCCGTCAAGCATGGAAGTATAATGGACGTGATGTCAAAGAGTTGGCCTTTACGGCGCCCTTTGGTGTGATTGGTAGCTGGGTCGGTCTGGGACTGAATGTACTTTGTCTGATCGCCGAATTCTACGTCTCTGTGGCGCCCAAGGACATTCAGAACTTCTTTGAGAACTATCTCGCTCTACCCCTTGTCATCGCCTTGTACCTGATTTGGAAGATCTACTCCATCTTCTCTCAGGATGCGACAGTCAATCACCGAGGCTGGAAGTTGATCTACAGCGTTGATGAGATTGACGTGCTAAGTGACATGCGCGATACCGCTTTGGATGTTGACTTGGAACCCAGAAAGGAGTATGCCACGTGGGGAGAATGGTTGAAGGCCGCCCCTGTGAGAGTTGTTCGCTCCATTTTCTAGTGTGCTTTCCAGTCTTTTGACCCTGCTACTATTCGTACAGAAGGGGAAAATCTGCTCTGGTAGCTCCGATAGAAGGGTACTGGACTGTTGATCCGTTTCCATCAAATAAAGATTACTGAGCCTTATGCTTATGCGCAGGGTTTCCAACGAAGGAATGAATGGTCTATCCTCAAGTTAATTTAGAACATAGAACCACAATATACTCCTACTGATTATGATCTTACTGCTAAGAAGAGTACTAGTAGTTCCTAGTTCCCAGCTATCCCTAACTGATATAGGCACCTTAGGTACCTAGCTGCTTCGTACGATCCGTTGGTTGTGTCGCCTGCGGTAGGTACTGGTAGGTACGTCGATATCAAAGGGTGCCTTCGAGTAGCCCGCCAACTAGGCTGGCTTCTGCCTAGGCTAAAGGTCAAGAGGCTACCAAACGAATGACATATCATATGACTATAACAGATATTACCCTCACCCCGGAAGATCTTCCTGCCAGCATTGAGCTGTAATGATAAGATGGACATCAACGACCAACATTCAGCTGCCCAACCGGATTCAGTCTCGCCAGTAACGCCTTTCCGCCGAAGCCCATCGATAATGGGATTCGACTCCGAATTCCACACATCATCGCAGGTATGTACGGTAGTGAAGGCATCTCCGTCCGCGAATGAATGGGTGCTAGGCTTTATCATCTAGATCATAAATAAACCAGAGTGGGAGCGGAAGGTCTTCGATGAAGCCGTTATCAGCAAATAGCGTACCGAGGTATATATAGAAGAGAAGATTTAAACAATGATTATCTATCGGGCCCTATATAGTATAGTCCGGTCCCCGGTCTAGTCCGGTCCTAAGCGGTCCTTACCAAGGTCTACTATACAGTCCTTGGTTTTTCCTTAGGGTCCAGTCCTAGTCCTAAGATTTAAGACCGGACCCGGTCTTTGGCGAGTTCTATACCTAGCTAATCATTGGCTACAAGTTCTTTTGGCCGCACATAGTGCGGCCTTATCACCTTGCTATGGGGCTGATCATTATTCTGCGGAATGCATCAAAATAACTTCAAATCTCCAGTAGATTTTGTAGAAATTTCCCTGAGACTAATCATTCATCAACTATTTTCTTAGACTCTAGCTTCTCGTAGTTCAAGTTATCAGGAGTTAATTGAATCCAAATGAGGGGGATAACACTTATGATGCAGGTATAATAACATTTACAAATTGAATTTGCCAGAGCGTATAGGTATAGCCTACTTTGAAAACAAATAACATGATAGGGTATTTGCCAGTCATAGCTATGCGATTTCCTGTTCCTTCAAGAGAATCGCGCTCTAAGATCGATCATGGCCTTATCGCGTGTAGTTGCCATACTTAGAGCTTCGGGGTCGCCGTGCTAGTCTAGATCTTTGTTGGCTGGCCCCTAGCCTGGTTCCTTCATGCATGGTTATCATAGTTCGTCACAGGGTATAGCGGCGATGCCAAAGATCCAATTAAATTTGTGTTTGTGGTGTTGTAACGCAGTTCCATACCATCATTTTGAACCACAATGAATTTAAGTTACAGTTCCTTTTATCACTCGTGTTATGCACTAACGCCCAATTAATTCGTTCGATGATACTACCCGTTTCTATACAGTACAGTTGACTTCAATATTTGTGGCAAATACAGAAAAGCTATTCCTTAGTACGGAACACTCATCATACCCGCAGAGTGGGTCCTGGCGATACAGATATGAGACACAAGCTCATCTCCGAACGCAGGAACAGCCACCGCATCACTATTGGGTCTACGCTTACCACACCTGGAGGGACAAAACTTAGAGGCCTAAGACGCTCACATCAGATTTGGAGCACCAGAAGCGAAACTTCAAAATACTACATAGCTCGATTAACCTGGACCATGTTTTCCTTCGTCGACCTTCCGTCAAACATTCACACTCGATTTGTTACATTGTTCATAGTGGGTTCGACTTGTTGTCCTCCAAAGTGTCCAACATACTCTTTGCCGGGTTCAAAATGAACTATAATTCGTTCAGTCCAAATTATGTCCAATTCAAATGTTGACGAGCACAACATAGCTACGGCCTTTTCGATGCATACCTCGACCCATTCAACCCAAATCATGGCCAAGATAACACAAACTATGGTTAGGACTATGATGGCGCACACGAGCAGACTCCCATTGACCAGTTGTGTGGAACGCATAATATAAAAGCCAGAGAGATGAGAAATGTGTGCTGGCAGACAGCTTCGCATTTATCCTGGAAAGGGCCTTGTCAGCGATAAAGTAAAATTGAAAGACAAGTGTTAAAATGTACCAAGTGGTAGCGAAGGAGGACGCAGCTATCATACAGTTCTCGCGACACGGTGGCCGTACGCCCTGTTTGCCCTCCCAAAAGCCAGCATCACGGGCTGGTTTACAGCTTGCGTAGTGCCCAAATTCTGATTTTCAATATACCTCTTGAAGGCTTCGTGCAACAAATGATGCTCTGTACACAAAGGTGGGGGTCTTTTGTCGCAGTAGAGAATTTGCAACGTCCCTCAGGGAAATACTAGGGGATTTCAAAACGAAATTCGTGAGCTTCTCGAGGTACATTTTTAGGCTAAAGACCTAATTGGCTGCGACGAAAATGAGATAGACCGATAACAAACCATCCACAGCTTGCTGCTGTTTGACAGGGGGTGTATATGCTCTCAGGACAATAGCGGCGTTGCTACCAGTGCGCCATAGTTGTCCACCAAAGCCACAATACGCAGCGGGGTTCAGGCCGCACCTGGTTTGGCAGCTCGATCTGCTCCGAACCCTTGACCTTTGGGTTCAAGTTGACATGCTGGCCTGTCGGGGAATCAATTTGTGAGGTATCATGAGGATGGTGTTAATAAGCCTGCAGCACCAGAGGCCGCCTTGCGCTTGACCAATATTATCCTTGACCGACCCCCAGAACGACATTACTCTTTCGACCGGCACCCGTGAGGGCCAAGCTGACGCTTTCGTACTCGATCGGATCACCAACCTGCGTGCCTAGAAATGTTTCAGCTTATGTAACTTTTGCAAAGACAATGTCACCGACCTGTGCCATGAGCTTCAACATAACTTACGCCTGTGGGCTCAAGAGCGACTCAAAGACAAAGCTTGACTATACAAGGCGCTCTGTTGGGGCGAGTTCGGAACTGTAATAGAGCTAAAGGAAGAGCCTTGATTGACAGCAGATCCAGAATTCACACTGACAATATTGTCTCCGGCCAGGATGGCCTTGGACAGTGGCTTGCGCACGATGACTCCCGCTCCCTCGCCTCGACAATAGGCAGCAGCAGAAGCATCAAAGGCGCATGATGATCTACTTGGATTCAGGAAGAAAGCGGCCGCGAGATTCTGGTGTAGGCTTGGGCTTGTGATGACGTTCCACCACCGAGAGCCATGTCACATTGGCCAGCCAGGAGAGCCTTAGGGTCAGATACGCGACAATTTATATACTTGTTTGAGCAATCATACCTTGCATGCCCTGTGTATAGCCACAGATGACGACGAACAAGCTGTTTCTAAAGTAATTGAAGGGCCACTCTATCCGAAGAAATGGCCTATCACATCTTCGGACATGGTAGGCAGACCATCAAGCGAATAGTCGATGAAAATTGTCCAGAAGATTCTCACTTGATTGCTGTCGGCTCCGAATCTTGTATTACACGGTTCCTTACCGTTAAGTCAAACCCGGGCCTTCTTGACAAAATCACCGTCGTTGGGATGGCCTGTCATTTCCCACAAGCGGAGTCACTGAAGGAGTTTTGGAGACTTAGCGGTACGGGAAGAACGGTCATTGGAACTCTGCCTCCCGATCGCTTTGATCCTGCAGATCTACGGAGAATGCCCAAGATGCCTGTGTTTTGGGGCAACTTCTTGCCTAATCCTGACGTCCTCGGTCATAGCTTCTTTGGAATCTCCGGTAGAGAGGCAAAGTCAATGACCCATAGCAAAGTATAGCATTGCAGGTCGCTTATGAAGCAGTGGAAATGGCAGGGTCATATGGTATTGGGTCGAAAAGCAGGCGCCAAGAGACGAAGGTGGGGTGCTATCTTGGGGTTGGGTCGGGCGATTACGAGGGAAACGTGGGCTCTGCTGATGCAACTGTTTTTTCGGCCACTGGAACCCTAAGCGCTGTTACCAGTGGCCATTCTACCATGTGTGATATCACCGTCAATAGCGCTAACTGGACGTTACTTGTCAATGTCATGAGGTTAGGGTGTTTTACTGCCAGCTAATCCGTCAGGGTTTCCAGCTGTGTTGAGGCATCATTCTGGGACAAAAGGAGACTGGCGATAAACGCTGGCAATTGGGCCAGACAACGGCGCAAGAATGCCAATCAGGAAATGTTCTGGAGATCCAATTGTAGCCGACATAGACGCTCGGTGGTCCATTGCAATTGGGTCAGTTGGGGTCCAAAAAGAACGATGCGAGGGTTGGGAGGCGTGGTGGAGGAAATCATTACACAGATAGCCAACAGTAGCCAGTCCCATTTGATTTGAACCAATGCCTGTAGCAAGCCAGAGTGAATGCGTAAGCCCGGAGTAGAAGAAGAAATCATCCGTGGAGGTCCACGGCGTTAGAGCATCCTTAACTCCGGCGCATGATGGTTAAAGGTCCGTCACTTGTCCATGCTCTCTCTTGCTCCAAACCGAACTTCATCATGGCTACTACCAAGCTCACCTGGCTCATTACGGGCTGCTCTTCTGGCTTCGGCCTTTCCTTGACCCGCGCCGCTCAGGCTGGAGGACACAAGGTCATTGCGACATCGCGTAACCCATCGCACACTCCCGACCTCGTCGCCGATATCGAATCCAAAGGAGGGAAATGGGTCCAACTTGATGTGGACAGCCGTGACTGCGGCAACGTGATCACTAAGCTTGAAGGTAGTGGCGACCACATCGATGTCCTAGTCAACAACGCTGGCTTTTCTATCTATGCCCCTATCGAGACGATCGAAGAGGAGGAGGTACGAACCCAGATGGAGACTATGTACTTTGGTCCCTTGCGACTCATCCGGGCTGTTCTGCCCCACATGCGCCAGCGGAAATCCGGCGTGATCGTCAACATGAGCAGCGGTGCTTCGCTTGATGGTATTCCCACTATGGGTGTTTACGCAGGTGCAAAGGCTGGAATGGATGGTATGTATCAGTACTAAAGAGCTTCTAGCTAATAGAAATAGCTAACTGTGAACCCGATAGCTCTTATCAAGATCCTCGCCAAAGAGGTTGCCCCCTTCAACATCCGCACCCTGACTGTTATTCTCGGAACTTTCAACACCAACATGCCCAATTCGGTCGTTCTGGGCAAGACTCCCCTACCCGAGGACTACAAGGGAACCTTCACGGAGCAGGTCCAAGATCTCCTAGTCAGTGGAAAGATCCACCCTAACGGCGACAAGGACAAAGCGATGCAGGCTGTGTACCAGGTCGTTGCTGGTGAGGGAGTTGGTGAAGGCCATCAGACCGAGAAGCTTCTCCCTCTGGGGAGCGACATGACCCCCGTCTCAAAGGAGTCCAGGATTATCTCAGCAATGCTTTGGAATTGTTTGGCTCTGTGACCAACAACGTGGATGTCGACAAATAATGCAGGTCTTTCCAGCCTTACAAAGGTCGTTTGAAATTAGTTTCAAATTAGGGGGTGAATACCTAGGTAGTGACAGGCGTTACATTATAATGGCCAGAGGGTAAAGATTACCGTTAGTCAAGCGACCACCCAGGGAGTTCTTCCCACGCCCTCCGTGCTTCCCGAGGCCCACGGAGAATAATGTCATCACCCATTTTAGTAGTTGCTTGTTTCAGTGCTAGAAAATCACCTTGGGAGATCTGACGCCTAGAAACCTGGCATTTGTGGAAGAGATCCACCTGTGCCCCTGGGCAGCTCTCAGCACCGGCTTGACACAAGACAGTTGATAATTGTCAATGGTAGGGATAAACTCACCTGGCCATACAAAGTCTGGCAGTGGTCTCCCATGGATTCTCCAGCCGTGCTATCAGGGCATACGCGGCCAAGAGGGGTTTGATTCCCAGGTCTTCGCTCTCGAACCAGGGGAGGGGTGGGGGTAACTCCGGAAAGAAAACTGGTAATATCACTGTTGTTGTCATTTTGCTTACTCTGGCGAGTCACAGAGAATAATATCTGTTTCTTTATGCGTGCAGTTGCCTGTTCACTTGGGGATTGCGACCCCGGTTGTGAGCCCAGCGCCGAGTAGATATCACCTGGGCTTTGTTTTTGGCACTCTGCACGTTTTTCTCCTCATAAGAAAGTAATGAAAAAAAATGAAAGGCTTAATTCCTATGATGGCTCTTGAACTACTCGGCTATCCCCTACTCTCTTCCATTCTCGGGATTGTGATCCACCGACTGTTTTTCTCCATCCCCTCCGCCATGTAACCTGGCCGTTCTTGGCCTCATTCAGCTCGCTCTTCCTATACATAATCTGCTACCTTGGAGTTCAGGGTCGTGTACTTCGTTACTTCCACCGTCGCTTCCGCACTCCTGTCCTCCGTGTAGGGCCAAATAGCCTCTCCATCTCGCACTCCGCGACATTTACATTGTCAATGGCGGCTTCCCCAAACATGATCGGTACAAGAATTTCGACTTGGGCCTAATTGTCTCCATTTTCTCATCTCGAGATACTGAATATCGCGACCGGTGCGCCAAGCTGTGGCTCATCTCTGTGCTCCTCCATGCTAAACCTGCCCTTGACGGCCGTGAATAGTTCAAGCTAGATGTTTTCGTTCCCGGACAAGTGGAGAGCCTTGAAGCTGGTAATGTGTTGAACGCTATGGTATGGTTCCGATGTGGAATACTAGGCTTTGACCCTATAGGGCTAATCGATTCTCCTTTTCTCAGCGATGGAGCAGGCTAATTCAAAGGCGGCGAATGAGCTTCTGGTATCAGGGTTCTGATTTCAATATAGCCAGTTGACTATTTCTGCTTGTGGATGAAGATGACGAAACAATTTTAATAGCCAAACAATCTACTATAAGATACATGCCCCGGAGCCCAGGCACCGAAGTCGCCAAGAGTCAACCCCTTGAATCGGGCGCTAGCCCGTTACACCATATAGTCTATTAAAAAGAACGTCGGGTAAAAGACATTCTTTCTAAGATTTATCCTCTTCCAACAGACCCCCCCAAACCACGTCTGCAACACAGAGTCCCTGCGCCATCGCCGGAGCCACTCCCTTGATCGGACTACCGGCATCACCACAGACAAATAACCCCGGCACGCTAGTCGCCCCAGTGGGCTCTTTACACGCAATAACCGAGCCCTGGCCAGGAATTTCACTGATTTGGAGCCCTAGCTGCGTCGCTAAATGGGCGCTAGCGGGTCTAGTTAGCGTCTTATACACTAAGAAGTCAACACGCTCCGATTTGCCACCCTCTAGATACACGTGAACCCCAGGACCTTTCTCGACGGGTAGCGGCTCTAGACGGCTAATAGGCGTATGTTGTAGAGTGACACCTTGGGCCAAGGCGGGTGCAAATAGCTTCTCAGCCTCGCACCGCTGCACTTCGGTGTAGAGGAGACCGTCGGTGTAGACGATCACGCGGTCATTAAAGCATCGGGCCCGTAGGGCGAGATGCACATGGTACGTCGATAGGGGCTTTGCAAGGACCCCGATGCCAAACGGACGCTCGGCTCGCTCAAAGCCGTCGCAGAGTAGGCACTGGTAAATGGTCAGGCCAGCAGGTCGCAAACCCGGCGATCTCGGTCGGGAGCTCGTCGATGGCACCGGTCGCGAGAATAAGGCGCCGGCCTTGGTAAACTGCGCCCGTAGCTGTCTCAATCTCGAATGCTGGGCTCTCTGGGGTACCAATTCGGGCGGCGCGCTGGACAGTATCAGACTCTAGGCGAATGCTTGGATATAGAGCTGTGAGCTGTTGCTGACTCCGAGTGAGGAAGTCGATCGGATTCATCCCTTCGCAAGCCAGAACCCCATGCATTGCATGGCTCGCACGGTTGCGATACTCGGAATCGGCGATGATCAGGACATGTCGGCGAGCACGGCCCAGAGCGCTGGCTGCTGCGAGGCCGGCCGGGCCTGCACCGAGAATGAGGGCGTCAACTATCATGGTTTTCATGGCTCATATAGCAGGAGAAGCAGAGCAGCAGCAGATAATAACATGATTTCAAGTACTCCACTCTGCGGTGGTACCACCCGACGTGGTGCGGGGTTTATTGTTGAACTTAGCGCTATCTGTTAAGTGAGACGTCCAATAGGATTGCGATGATTAGATTGACTAGGTCCACGTGTAAGGAAGAATTATGTACAAAATGTAAGAGAAGTAGGCACTTGGTGGCTAAGCCCATTCTTAGCAGTAAGTTACCACTCTATATATTCCGATATACCCCCTCAGCAAGCACCCGTGTAACAGGTAATTACTTCCTAAGGTAGAGGCCTATCTATTAGGTAAAGGTTTAAAGGCGAAGTAATAAAGAATGTCTCCCAGGCTATATGTTTCCCTCTTGTTGTGACAAACAGTCTTCTCATGTTTTCAGTAAATGGTGAATATGGTCCCTGGTTTAGATACGCACCTATATGACCAACAGAGCTTTCAAGGTCACACTCTGACTAGCATGTGGGTCTGAAGGTACGACTTCTGCTCAGTGACTGTAGGGAAACCGAGCTGCCTCGGATAAATGAATACGTGATGATTGAGTTTTTGCACCCCCTGACCCCCTCGTCAAATTGGTCTTCGGGGCAAGCAATCTTGGCACTAAAGCCTCGTCTCAAAGTCAAAACAATACCAGATTGGCGAGAATGTACGCTAGCTAATCAGCGATGTAACTCTCCAGGACTCAACTATCTCTTGGCGAAATCAATTTCTCCACATCTCGATAACCAGAGGTCCTAGGATCTCGAGACCCACTTTAAATTCAATCTTACTCTAAGTGCTAACGTTTGATACTGTTTGATAGCGTTACCAGCGAGGACAGTTACGAGCGCGCCCAATCTGCGATTTATACACCCATCCAGGGCCAGGATTTTCTGCCTCCGACGGGGCGACAGGCAGGATCAGTAACACCACAGCGAGATATCCGACCAACGAACACCTAGATCTGGGGCAGAGCGATTGGGAGGACATTCGGAGGGAGGAGAATTTTGACCAGGCCCAGATCATGCGAGGAGGATATGGTGAAACTGGTAATGAGGGGAGCGGGAGAGTATGGAAGAGTGGGGTTTGGGGGACAGAAGGCGGTCAAATATCATAGGATCTAGTTTACCTAGCTAGGGTACAGTGGTGTTACTTTAGTTTGAAACCCTCCCATTTGATTATATAATTTTCTGCCACCCTTTCTGCCGTACTAAAACCTCGCATTCAATATTTACTAGTTAATAACTAGTATACCATCCACCGTTATTAACTACCTGCTTCACCCGGTTAGGCATCGTTATAGCTAAATTATCTAGTATAGAAAGATCTATCTCTGACCAAGCCTCTTGCGTAGCAGCGATCAAAAACGCCAAGGTTTCTTCGTTATTAGGCATACATTTGATCTCTGGATACATATCATAGATTTTAGCCTTAAGAAGCGCCTAAAGATTCTTAATTAGGTTAAGATCTGGCGAATATAGTGGCCAGGCCATCACTTTAAACGCTTGTTCTTTAAGCCAGTCTCTTATAACGCGTACAGTGTGAATAGGGGCGTTATCTTGTTAAAAAATAGCACCCTCGATACTATTTATTAATGTTAGAAGCATACGTTAGTATAATTCGAGGATAACCCATCGATTAACACCTCCCCGAGGTAAATCTGGGTCTCTAAAGAGTGGTATAAGCCCTAAACGCCGACCAGATCCTAAGAAAGCAGCCCAAAACATCTGTTTAATACCCTTATATACGGATATTGGGTCGACATCTCGTACGGCGATTTAGTCGCATGGTCGGGTAAAGGTGTACTCGCGACGAGCCCCTTTACCTCTCTCAATCGTCGATTCATCGGTCCAAAAGATCTTTCTCTATTGATCTTCGGTATAGCTACGTACTCGTTCGGCCCATTCGAGACGTAATTAGGCGTAGGTTTCGGTAAGCTCCGGTCGCTGAAGCACAAGCCATTTTCGTCGATTCTCCTCACGAAGGAGTCTCCAAATCGATATTCGTTTAACCTTATTATCGACTATTACAAGGAGGTCGTCGTATTTGACTCGTAGGTTCTTATCGATAGCGTTAAGAAGCTTAGTTTTATCCTCTTCGTTAAGCTTCTTTAGTTAGCCAGATCGAGGGAGTGTCTCTTGGGTAGGCCCTCGTAGGCTAGATCTAGCCACCGTTGTCTTCATCGTGTTGATTGGAATATAAGGATAACGCTCGTTGATCTTTTTGTAGGTCCAGCCAATCGATTTAAGCTCAATAATCTTAATACGTTCGTAGGGGGCAAGTTGGTAGCCAGATCGTCGTGTAGCAATATTTGGGTGCCTAGTAGGCGCATCGTATTGCTACCCTATGCGAAGAGGAGGCATTTTTAGTGTCTGAATAGCTTCAAATTGCATAAAATAATTGGGGGGGGGGGGGGGAGATGCGTTATACTAAGCGTATCGCAGCGCGTAGTCAGGGGCGGTTAGCCGAATGTAGTGGGCGGTAGGCTAAGGCGGTCAAAACGGAGGGTTTCAAACTAAAGTAACACCACTGTAGCTGCTACAGTATAGTGTCCTGCCGGCAAATCGGGCTCACCGCCTGACAGATCCAATCAATCAATCGATCAAACACTACTACACTAGTCTCCAGATGTTGTTCAGTCCCCGACACCAAAATCTTCAGCCTGAGATATTCGTACACACTCCGAATGAAGACGCTGACTGTTTTGAACGCCCTCAACTAAGTCGTAAAAGGACTAAGGAATGTAGATCACCAACCATCTAAAACGCCACTGTGCAAGCCTCAACTCAGAATGAGTCCTCAGTTTCGCCCAGAAGAGGAAAATCCGAGGTTCCATGCTCAAGGGCTGTCATCGACGCGAAAGCGCTTTCGTGAAGGGAGCTTTGTCGAATCTTCTCCTGTTTTTCGGAATGAAAAGGAGTCCTGGACATGCTGCAGATAAGCAACAAAGACATGAAATTCGTCAAAATCATCCCAGTTTTTATGGGCGCTTGAACGGATTTCGGGCAGCACCCTGTCCCACAGGTGCCGCAGGCGGCTATGCGTCACGCCGAAGTTAGCCGGAGCCCAACGGAGTATTTCGAGCGCGAAGGTGCACACAGATTGATTGACTCCTTGGTAAGTATTACTATACTTGAAGTTTCCTGCGCCTTCGGAAGGAAGCCGGTCAACAAGGAAAACGCAGAATGCGAGCCAGGTCGCTGTTCTAAGGCGGGCGGCATGCTCGTCCCACTTTTCAAGCAGTGTACGCGACAGATTATCCCTGCCGATCTCGAGTTTGCGAGCTTCATTGCAGTGGTCTGGGTACTTATCGAAGTAATCTTGCAATTTGGACATGAAAGTTTTGCATTCAGACCAGCTGCGTGCCGAGTAGAGCGGCAGGTCCCGAGGGACCGGCACTTCTGGCGATGGTCGACCTTCGAATTGGCTATAGCGCTCAGGTGGAGACAAAGCCTCAACTCGCCAGGCAGGTTGTCCCGGCGGTTCTGATGGCAAAATTGCTTTAAGCTGGCGCCTAGTTTCATTTGTATTCATTGGGACGAAACGCTCATCGGTTGGGACGGCAATAGTATTCCGTTTTGCGAGAAATTTCGCTCGGGACGGAGTGGAGATTTCGACTTCCTGGAGATACATAGCAAATGAAGTATAGTCTGAGAACTGCGTGTATGATTTTTGTGCACGGGCGCGAATATCGGGGAGGACCCCTCTCAACAAGGACGCCACAAATTCACGACTGCTGACCTCGGGAGCGACAGGTGCCCACTGGATTAACCAGAGAGCAAAATGTGTCACAGGTTGAGCAACTTTTTGGAAGGCACGTGTAATTCCCTCATGGGTTTGTTTGTGGTTTCCGTATCGGGAAAGCTGCTGAGCCAGGAACGTACAGTACGAAATCCATGACAGGTCCCCAGGCATCATTTTATGAATATGCCACCTCTCCATCAGCGTGGGCGAAATGTATTTTGCCCCGAGCTCCACTTTGCGAGCCTCGGTGTCGTAGTAGGGGTGCCGCGCGGAGTGAGCTTCCAAGGTATTAATGTAATGTACGCACTCAGACCATCTTCTTCCCCGGTAGCTTCCAAATTCAAGATCTGGAGGATTTGGCGGGGTAGCAGGGGTTCGACACGCAGCTGTAGATTGGATAGGTGTCCATGGCGGAGCGGGTTGGGCGGTTGTCTGAGATTGAGAAGAAACTGCGTCGGTTGTTTCCTTCAAGGTGTGCTCCCTTTCCGAGAAACGCGTCATGTTGTTTTCTTTGTCCATTTTTTCTATTCCCTAGCAGGGTTTAGTGTAGGTAATATCCCTTGTTCGCACAATGTTTTCGGAAAATTAAAAACTACAGTACATATGTATTACTTCCTAGCGGTAAGTTACCCCTCCATGCGTTGACAATCTACCCTCCTCAATAAAATTAATTCGACCCTACTTACTTATTTTCCCCATAATTAAGCCGCTACCGTAATTCTCTCTACTAATGAAGCCTGAATCCCATAGGATATCACGGAGCCATTAACTGCAACTCCGCCTTGTAAATATTCTCTAGAATGAGTATGGTCGAAGCCGGCTATCTAATGCAGAAGCCACGACTATGAAACATTCCTGCTTTCTCGAATACGCATAGCGGAACGAAAGGCCATTACAGACACAATATGCGGGTAATTGGGCCATCGGCTCTTCCCGAGCGCCAAGCCTATCAAGCGCTTCCTTTTACCCATGTGGTCTGTATTCGGATTGTTCGCGTCTAACCTCCCTAATGGGGTCTATTTGGTCTGCGCTAAGTGTGACCCTTCAATTCTTCTATGCACTGAATGACCGGACAGGTGTCTCCTTCTCCTTAAATCTTGGTTTACGTCATCCGTCACCATAGTCAAGATCCACTACTTCAACTAATAGCGAAACTTATCATTTTCAAGCTTTGCCATTAGCGTCAAAGCTCAAAACAGAAGAAAAGACCACATTCTTAGCAGTTTCACGCCCAGTGAAAGGTGAGATTTGACCCATGATGTTACATTCAGCAACGTAGATCTTTTTGACTAGTTTTAGTTGCATATGATTTTCCGGGGATTTCGCGAAAGGGAAGTTTCGTTCCCACCTGCCTCGTATTGCGATACTGTTTTACTGCTTTGGAGTTAGACTATAGAATTAGTATATTGTAGTGACTTACGACCCAATAGATCTCAAAAGGCATAGCACACTTTGACTTTCCAAATTGCTGACGACCGATCAGCTCTCAGATATAAGAGACCCTTTGGGGCACTCTTTTCTGTCCCCAATAGACCTACAACAAAATTTATATTTTTTGCCTCAACACGATCGGGAATTCCTCCTGAGTAGTATTCTCCATGATGACTGGTCCGAAATCCTTTGTGTCGATCATGCTGCTGGCCACAGCCACTGCTCAATCTACTGTTTACCTTATCCGCCACGGAGAGAAACTTTCCAGCGGAAACGGAATAAGTAGCCAGGGCGAGGAGCGTGCTCAATGCCTTGTGAATGTTTTCTCTGCGAGCTCCTCTTACAACATTGGACATATTATGGCTGAGACCCCCCGATCTGCTATGTCAATTAGTGGTCTTTGATTTCCTTGACTTCATGCGGATCAAGAACAGAGGAAAACAAAAGCCATGTGCCATTGCGCAACTTACAAACTTGAACCAGGTGGCTGGCAGCAGTGCCCATATGACACGGTCCTTCCTCTGGCGGAGAGCCTTGGACTTGATGTTGACACATCTTGTGAGCGTGATGATGCTGATTGTGTCCAGAGTGTTGTTGATAGCTACACGGGAGACGGCAAGATTCTTATCTGCTGGGAGCACAATGAATTGACGAATATCGTCACTGCACTTGGCGACAGTGATGCGCCTTCTTACCCCGATGACAGGTTAGGGAAAGTGCGACTTGAACTCTAACAACATTATCTAAATATGGTTATAGTTACAACCTGATTTGGACCGATCCCTAACCTAACACCTCTATTGTCAGTGTGACTAGCGAGGACTGCCCTGGTCTGGATGACTAGGCTGAGAACCTATATGTCGCTTTCAAGGATATGCTGCGTGGTCAAACCGGATTAGTTTGGTCTTTTTGCTTTTGCAAACTAGAATTACAAATTCGCCCGCAAAATTCACAGAAGTTGTTTGACTAATTCTAACCCAGAGTTTGAAGTCATATATTCACCCATCTCGTCATTTGGGTAGCAGTACAGCCTCCAAATTCGAATGGCAATGTCAAAAGCTCTCGGCCAGCGACACTACACAGAGCCACAAGAATTTAAAATCTGCAGAATGGCCTCGATACCACCATAAGCTGCGATTATGGGCCCGTAAAGCGATTGTCCAGCGAAAACATTGTCCTTTGTTTCAGTACGGTGACGGTGACTGTTTGGTACAATATGGTAGATGATGTTACTGAAAAGTTATAGCGAGGGCTAGCTTATTCATGTTAGAAGATATGAAGATTCCTGCTCCTGATGTCTCATTTGACAGTGCTTGTTACGAAGGAGCCAGCTGGAATGAACCAGGTGCACTCAACGAAACAACTAAAGTGAAGAAGGAAGAAACTATGGAGGTGTCCGCCGTGTTGTAGAGAGCTCTCATGCAAACGGGCCCCATCAGGTTAGTCCGATCAGCTGCTTCCTTCTTCACATATCCCTCAGTTGATCTCCGCATCGTCTGACCACAGGGCCTTCGCTCTCCCAGTCCATCGTCTGTCATGCGTCACAGTGCTCAAAACACGGGACGCCCCCTTTTTGTTCAACAATATATACTAATCTGTATTGGTGTTCTACTAAGCAAAACGAGAGTCGCCCAAACTGTTCGGCTAATTTAGCTATTTAACTATACCAGGTGTGCTGAGGTTTGAGTTCGAGAGGAACTTGGTTCATAATACTCTAAGGCGCTTTTGGTGATTAACATGATCGACATAAAGAAAAGGAATAGAATAAAGAAAAATAGATAAATGTGATGGAGGATTAAGGAAGCCTCATTAATACCAGAAGAGACTCCTAATATATTTCAGAGAAATAATTACTAATGTTATTTATAAGGGGATACGAAAGGCTATTCACTAGAACCTTAATGTCTAAGTTATTTTCCAATTGACTAGGTTGCTTCTTTATATAAACAGTAATGTTGCCCTTGGCAAGTCATCAAGAAGAAGATTCCATTTAACATAGACACCGAATTTGAGGAAGGAAAGGAGAGATGGACCCTCTTTCGACTACTACACCTACAGGCCGGAACCTTCCATGTCGGAAGCTTGCATGTCATATAGTCGTTACAAGGAATAATTTACGATGCAGCGGCCGTATTCCTGATCTGCACAAGTCTCATTTCACAACAGTACCATTCTGAGAATTCTCCAAAAGAAGAATATTTGGCAGTATCAAAGCACTGCCCAATAGAGGTGGTTGTACCACAAAGCATCACTCTAGTATTGCTAGGGCTCTCCCCAATCACCGGTGCGAGAAGCCAAATCTGTGTATTGGCGAGATGGATCTTACTGTAGGATGAGTCCGATGTCAAAGTAACAAAATTTAGCATCGGTTGCGCTCTTGCACATAAAGACCGGCAAAAAGACTGCCTGACTCAAGGGCAGAGACCCAGAAATTGACCTTCCTGATAAATACTCCCACTTTATCTCGAACCCAATTTGTTCATCATGTGTATGCAGATCAATCTTGGTATGATAAAAGCATAATCTTACGGCAGTTCGTCCAAATTCCATCCTGATCATCGATATAAGATACGACCTGCATGTACTCGGGATGGCATTGTATTCTCTCAAATATTTCGAGGCTCGAATGATGCGTCTGTCTTTGAGGTTCCATTGAGCACACAGGAACAATTAATGGGGTACGCTACGCAAGATTTGCACCCACCAATACTAGGGCAAAGGCATTGATCCGCAGCTCGAATGTCATATGCCTGCCAGGGGGAGAAAGAAGTCGTTATGGTAGGTAAAGGAGACACGACCACAGTTCGCTTACACTGATCGTTGAATTTAATAGTGCGGAAGCTGTCAACTCTGCGATTCCCCAGGGCCTATCCCTGCACAGCGAGATGCACAACTGCCAGTCTTTTGATGGTAGCCATCTCCTTCCGCCAGTGCTCCCACTGCCAGGACTATGGCCACATCGCCCGCAACTGTAGGCGCGAGGTTTCAATGTGGACACTGCGTAGGGAGCCATGGTACCAAGGACTGAATGCATGCCCACGGCCGCCGCCGGGCGAAATGCGCCGTGTGTATCAAGAATAATCACGTTCAGGCTGAGCCACTTCTCTTTCGACCGCAAATCTCCCGTTCGAGGCGAGGCCATTGCAGCAGTATTGAACCGCCGCAGCCAGGGGCCTAAACTCCATCCAAAGCCTCACTGATCCAGCGTATAACCATTTAGCAGCTAATTCTCATCGATTCTCACCCAGGGATGCATCCAACGCCTACCGAATCTGCTGAGGCAGCAAATGGAGCATCCACAAATGCCGCCAGGCACGCGACGAAACGGAGGGGCGCAGCAGATGCCGCGGAGTCTAGCAGGCCAAGGGGAGTGCCATCGCAGTCATCAACACCCAAGATCGTCGCAAGGCAAAGCGGAAAGCCATCTGCTCACTGCCAGTATTACACGGTTCCATTTATATGTGTGATAACTTGACAATTTAGGTATGTATAATGGCGTGAGGTAATTTAAGGGACGAAAAACCTTGCAACAAAAGTGTATATCATATTGGGTTCTATCAAAGGAAATAAAAGTATTTTTCACCCAAGCCCATCGAATTTGCGGCTCCACCACTTATTTGCGCATCTTGCTGGAAAACTTTTGGGGAGTAGGAAGATTGATGGGGGCGTCCTTACGAGGGGAGTTCCGGATCAGGTGGTCGAATGAGGCAGCGCTCTCAACACGAGGGTTGAAGGGCTCAAAGTCCCAAAGGTAGCCAAGGGTGCGGAGGATGGAAGTGGCCGAGTAGGACACAGTCTGACCATGGTGACTGGTACCCTTTTGCTCAACGTAGCCCTTGCTAACCCAGGGGGAGATGAGGAGAGTGGGAATACGGCCACCCAGACGGTTGAACTCAAGGGTGTATTCTTCACCATTGGGAGCCTTCTCGGTGTAGGTCAGGTTGTCAGGGCGAATGGCCAGAGGGGGAGGAACGTGGTCGTGGAAGCCACCGCTCTCATCGAAAGTCAAGACGAAGAGTGTCTCCTCCCACTGGGGGCTGGCACGGAGAGACTCATATACCTGCTTGATAAAAGCCTCGCCGTCGGAGATCAACCCACTGTCGTGCATGGAGGTGGTGCCAACGCCACAGCAGGAGGGGTTCAGGTAAGAGAACTCAGGCAGAACTCCATTAGCGGCATCGGCGTGGAACTGGGTCATTGGAACAACCTTGTTCGTGTTGTTGGTAGCCTTCGTCCAGGCAAACCAGTGGGCTTCAGGGCCGGTACCACCAGCGATGTCCCAGTAGTTGAGCCAGGTGTGATTGGTCTCACCCAGCTGCTGGAAGATAGAGCGCTGGGTAAACGCATAGGTACCAAATGTGTGGTCATTACTACCATGGCCAGCGGAAGTACCAGCAACGACGGCGAAACGGTTAGGGTCGGTAGGCTAGATTTCAATTAGTAAGAATCTCGAAATAGTGATATAGTCTTCACTTACACCGGCGACATCAGAGTGCCAGTGGTTAAAGGTCAGGAAATTTTGGACAAGAGAGGTCATAACAGGCGTCTGCTCCTCAGTGTAGTAGTTCATGACCTGCTTGGCCAGCATAGCCTTCACAGTCTCGTTGGCGGTCGCGCCATGGTTGTGGATCTGCTCGTGAATGAAACCATTGTTGTTTGGGACCAATTTGCCATCGGCAATCATTGCATTGTCGGGGGTCCACTGGCCGAAGAACTCCATAGTGTTACCAGTAACGGCGTGACTAGGATCATCAGTCACAGAGTCGTAGTCCTTCGCAGTGGTGCAGTGGTATCCTTGAGAAGGATCGGTCACATTGTAGGGGTTGCAGAAAGGACCATTGTTGATCGGGTTGTCCAGACCGTGAATGGTCTGGCCACCCAGGAGATTGTCCACAGAGCGGTTCTCCATAACGAGAACAACGACATTCTTGACATTGGACTTCAGGTTGTCAATGGAAGAAGACGAGTGAGCCTGGCGAGGTTCGGTGGGAACAGCCGATGCCGCGGCGGCGAAGGCCAACAGGCCAACAAGAGCACTGGGATGCATTTTTGGCGGGCTATCTCGCGCTTTTCTGTTGAGAAAATAAGAATTTGCCTCTGTATAGAAAACAAGTCTTCAGCAGTGGCAGACCTGAATGTCTTTATACTTGATCTTTGGATGGAAGCCATGATGGGAATTGCTTGACTTCAGCCCACGTGGGCGTCATTGTATGATAGCCGGGATCTCGCTCGCATCCAAAATGCTTGTATACGGGCGGAGCTCAGACTGGAAGCAGAGTAAAAAAGATCCTCCGCGAGATCCGATGGGAAATTTAAGTCATATCTCCAATAAGATCAGTTTAAGCACCCACGAGGTGTGGGCTCGGACTGGAAGAAAGTGGGGAGTTAGGTACCGCATAATCTTAGGCATATAACCGCTAGACCAAAAATTCACTATACAGTAGTATACAGTCATGTTCCATTTCGATATTATGTCCAAATATGTGGAGTGGTAACTTACCACTAAGAACGAGCTTATTCATCAAGTGCCCAACGTTTCTTATGCTTTTTTATGTAATTCTGGCTTATAGGGAAACTCAGGCTTTGTAACAGCCGAGTATCGGCTGCACGGACAGAAATACGTCCGTACAGCCAGGGGATAACCATTCAACAGGCAACAACCCTGATTTTCTAATATCATCATCAATCTGATCAATTATATCATCCCATTGGACATCTCCCATACTAGCCTATACCAATAGTGCATAGTCTGTCATATTACAGTGGCTGTGCAAAAGTTTGAAACTATTTCCTACTCACCGCCTAGTACCCTCTACCTATACCGCGTTCTTCCTAAACTCAACGCATTGTATGTTAGCTAATTACCGGCTACAATGCCTCGCCTGGCATGGCAATTACTGGGTCGGGTGTGTGGTGTACAAAATACTAGGTTGTTGTGGTTTGACGCCAGTTGTTTCAGCAGATTTTTATCCGGCAGAAAAGTCGGCAATGGGGGAAATATCGTAGTTTCAAACTTTGCGCTACCGGAAAAGACGTACTGTCAGAGTTCATTTGTGCTTGTAAGTTATGCCTTGGCACTCCCAGGGACCCACCTTTTTACTGTCGTTCAAGGTCCTCCATATGATATTCCGTAGAAAGTTTTGAATTACAGTAACAGGGTGCCGACTTTCGTATCCAATACCCTGCGCTCTACTGCAAGGCGGTACTGGGTAGAGGATAGAGAAGAAGGGGGAGGAGCGTGCGTTCATCTCATCGAGAACGTAAGGTACGGATAATAAAAGAAGGCGGTGTATATGGGAAGTACCACTGTGCAAATACAAATGAACAGCCACGGTACTGTACATATACAGTATGAAGCATAAACTAGAAGCCGAGGATTTCCGATATGAGTAACCCACTTGGCGTATCTGGTTTCCCCTGAACGCTTGGGAGTCTGTTTCCTTTGCTTCCTCGCGCTATGTCTTGTAGTTTGATTGACTATACTTGTGCTTAATATTCATCTTTTATCGCAAGACATTATTGTCTTCTACGTATACGAGTGATTCCTCATAATCGTGCGTATTCCTTCTCCCGCGGATTATATGTGCGACGAGCCCGGTGATCTTGGTGCCACATTGGCTATTGTTAGGACATTTCCATCGGCTACCAGGTCCAAAGGTAAATTATAACCCCTTCTTGAGTCCTCATAGATGGTAGATTATTATAAACTCCACGGAAATCCATCATGACAGCGAGTCGGCTTTTCCTTTTCCTCTTGCTGTGTCCTCAGGCTCATTCGGCGCCTATTTCCAATCTTGAGATATGGAAATGTAGCTTTAGACTTGCGAAATAGCAAGCAAACGACACGTGTGGCAACGCAAATATACCGAGTTCCACTAGGATACCTCCGACACGGGTCCTATATGTGCTAAGCAGAAACATACCGATGAGGGTAACGCGCCTCACCGGAGGTACAAAATATCACCTTGGATATATTTCGGGTGTCATTGCTGGTCCAAAATTACAAAGGGTTGAGATTAACCTTCAATAGTACTAACTGCATGTCCCTGTACGCAAATTCTAACAGCCCCTTAGTTCGTTCAATAATGAAAGGGTATTAACAGCTAGTTCCTCACTCTATTATAGAGGAAAGAAGGGGCTCTATCGGACTATTTATCAATACCGGTTAATAATCTGGCTTCTCTACATAGTCAGGTAGTATACTAGTCATATCAGTAGGATGAAGTAATTAATTGACTCGCCTCGGGAGGTTGTCATAAGGCGTGGTGGTATTATACTTTTGACTCAGAACCCATACGATGAAGCCCCGTTATTGCAGCTTGAATGGATTGTATTGTAGTAACGCCATTCTTTCTTATAACCATTTTTATACAAATGACACATGGGCCAGACGATCACCCGTCTAGTTTATATTCTAAATTCAAAGCTGCCCACGCACGCCATCGTCATGCAAAACCGTGGATGAATCCTGTTTTTTAAGTTCCTCATTCACCTCCTAACAGATGACATTAGACCCAAGTCAAAGACCGACGAGTTTGCCATGAGCCCGTAGATAGGAGAAGGGTTGAATTACCAACAACCTAAGGCTCCTCTTGCCATCCCTCATCGGCCATTCGCTGGAGCAAGGCAGCGTCCATCTTATCTAGGCTAAGGTCGGGTAGGATGTCATTCTCAGCAGTGAAATCGCGGCCATACAGAGCAGATATCAGCTTTAGGCCTGACTCGTGCAGGATGGCGGGCCGCCCACACATGCGGCCGAGCAGTTCTGTCCCGGGGAGACCGAATGGTGCATCCTCTAGCACATAGCGGGACTCCAGAGTGGCGGGCCCTAGAGGGTCACTCGACCCAGCCGCGAGCTGCGCTGCCATCTCTCCAACGGGGCCTTCTGGCACATGGAAAGAGCGATGAAGGTGTTGCCGGATGTTGCGCACCTCCACGCCAAACGACTCCGCGATAGCCAAACGCTCGGCATCAAGCGCCTCCATCAGACGGCCGACTGCGGTAGTAGTGTTGGCCCATTGCCGCCATTTTTCCCCGTTTTCCATACGCGACAGGTTGCACATGGCGATGGCGAGGTGATTCTGGGGATTAACATTACTCAGCGTAATTGCAATCAGTCCATCTCGAAGCCGGAATCGGTCACCGAAGAGTGTGCGGCAAAGGTCCAGCATTGCCTCGCCGTCCCTGCGTGGGACGGCAGCTACATCGATCTCAGCACGAATGTTCCGCAGAAGCACCCGGTTAGGTGCGAGGCGGGCGCCGCTGAGCATCGTGCTACCCCAAGCCGCAATGGGGGCGGTGATACCGCGGCGGGCCAGGAGGCGCGAAAGGAAAAGCGCGCCCAGCGAAAGTTGCGCACTTATTATGACCGGCTGGCCAGCCTGCAAGCACGCAGCCAGCGCTTCCAGCACCGTGCGGTACCCGGTAGCAGATACGGTGACCAACACTGCATCAGCCCCGGCCACCGCCTCGCTGCAGGTTGCCGCCACCTCCACCGTCGCTTCGTGCTCCAAAGCACCTTCCGCGGTAAGAAGCATCGGACCAGCAGGCAAGAGGCCCCGCGGCGACCAAGCTACGGCCTCATGCCCCTTTGAGAGTAGCAGCGATATGGAGGCGAGGCCGATCGCGCCCGTGCCAAGTACTGCAACCCGCATGGAGGTACTTGACATTTTTATGTGGTGTTGTAGATCGTTCTTCGTCGCGAGGATCAAGTTTGTTGAATAGTCTCTGGAGGGCGTAGCTGACTGACTGCCTGAGAGATGTAAGGATTGATCAAATTCCTAGGAACACTTATAGCGGCCTTTGCAGAAGTTGTTCGGAGTATTCGGGGAGCACTTCGTGAGAGCTGCTTATTCCAGATGTCGAGGAACCCATTCTTTATATAGATTAAACGTCAGGCAATACTCGCCCAGGCCACGCTTGCCCTAGCTAGATTCCAGATCGTCCGGACCATGCCCATGTCGTGCATTTGCAACGACCGATTCGGCTTCAAAGGAATCTCGTACTCACTCTTGCTCAACCTGCTCCATCTTCAAATATCAGCGTGCCCTCTCATTGGCTGTTCGTATACTTCCGAGTAGTTGTATCCGGCAGACCCCATCAGCCACCAGATCGAACCTCCGTCCTCGGAATCATCCGGGTTCATTTTCCCGCGCTCCGGATTCGGAATGACCGCCTCAAAATGACGATCTTGATATCTTCAAAAAAAGGACTTTGAAATGCAAATATGAATATCTCGGCGGCGGCTGCAGATGCAAGGCGATGCACGAAAAAGGATTCGCGTCAGCCGAAAAGGGGGGCGATTTCGGCCCGGGAGAGGCCGGCTGATAGGAAAACGTCGGCAGTTGATTAGGCGTCCCGCTTACGCGGTTGGGTTAGGCTCTTCCATGGGTGAACCAAACTTAAATGATGTAATCTCGTAGGAAACTCCGATAAGGGCCCGCCCCCCTTATCCTGGACATGACGGCAACTTACCGTTCCTCTTACCTGATATTTGGCAATCATGAATCAAAACGCTAAAAACACGAGAATTCAACCCGCTAGAGGTCCTCAGCGCATACGTGATCGAGGCAGAACACTCCTGGCTTGCACAATCTGCAAAGAAAGAAAGCTGAAGGTAGAATTCTTGAGACAGCGACATTCCTCCCTTTTGTCGTCAGCTAACCAAGAGTTCGCGATAGTGCGATGATCGGGTTCCAGCGTGTGCAAACTGTCACCGTTTTGGGCTAGGTAAGAGCGCTAAGTTCCCTCTGTCTCGTTGCACTTGATCGTCTGGTGGCTCATTCCTGACGGCAGTCTGTCTGGTGGAAGATCGGACAACGAAACGACATCTGCCCCGGAATTACCTTCAAACCCTTGAAGATCGGGTGGCTCTCCTTGAGAGTATCCTGCAGCAGCTCCCCCAAGGTGTGGCCAGTGCTCCTCTCACTCCGTGTGATTTTCATGGCGCAGAAAATGAAGTCGATAATTTTCCGGGACCACATTTTATCAACAATGACTACGGCAACAAATCGAGTATACCTAGAGCTAAACAGCAGGAAGATGAGGTGGGTGATTTAGCATCCAAGGTCGGGCTGCTGGCTCTGAATGCGCCTGGAGCAGAAGCTCACTACCTTGGTTCATCTTCTGCGTTTGCTTTCTCACGATTAATCAACACTTCCCTTCGACAAGTCGATCGTAGGGACCACATCAATGCACTTAGCCGAAATAAGGCCCCTGAGTCCATTGTTTCTCCATGCCCTTTACCAGATTACGACACTGCCGTTATGCTCAGCAACGCTTATTTCCATAATGTTCACCCCCAGTATCCATTCTTGCATGAAGCAACGTTTAGAGATTGGGAGGCGAGCCTGAGAAGGCCAGAAGCGTTGGAAGCAATAAACACAAGCTTTGTTCCTTTATTCTTTCTCAACATAGTAGGTTGTTTCATCGTGGCTTGCAGGGAAACCAAGTTAACTCTCTAGGTGTATGCCATTGGGGCTTTGCTTTTACCCCATTCTGGATACTCGGCCGAGGTATGTAACAACGCACATCACATGACAATATGCTGACGAGGTTTCAGCGATTCTACGTCTCGGCGGAACTCCATATCGGCCATGTGCTAGCGCTTGATAATCTAGAAGCTATACAAGCCGTGCTATGCTGCGCAATGTACTCTATCCGGTCTCCGATTGGTCCTTCAGTTTGGTAAGACAATCCAGCCGATTGAGAAACTATTTACTCACATACAACAGGAAGCTCTCAGGGCTGGCACTGCGCCATTGCATTGAGCTGGGCTACCATCGCAGCGCCAACCGTTTCAGATCGAGTACGAGCCCTCTTCAACTAGAGCTACGGAAGAGGGTATTTTGGTGTGCTTATGGACTGGACTGTTCCTCTGCTATCACTCTGGGTCGGCCACTTGGTATTGCCTACGAAGATGTTGATGTCGAGGTATTTTACTCCTATAGTCGTGGGTTCAAAACCATGAATACGCGAATCTGTGGAACGCTCAGGCTCATTGCTGCGACATTAGTACCCGATGGATATCGATGATTTTCATCTTACAAATACCTCAATCTATGAAACGCCCCAGACATCTTCTCCTGAACCGACAACGAATATGTCCCGTGCCATTCACACATTCCGTCTTCGTCGTATCTGGGCACGCATTCATACTGCGCTCTACTCAGATTCTAGGCTACATAGCCCGGCCAATTCTACATACCATGACCCTATCCACGACCTACGGGTTCAGCTTGACAATTGGCTGGCTTCAACACCTCGCATAACGTCCCACGTTGGACCGTCGCTGTCTGTATTTTCAAGCACAGATTGGTTTGATCTGACTTATAATCATTCCATCCTGCTTCTCTACCGTGGCCTATTGACAGACAGCACTCGACGATGCGCAGACAAATACTTTATTGAATGCATGCAAGCTGCAGAGAAAGTTTGCCAGGGCTACCGTCGGCAATACATGGGAACATCAACGAGCTTTACCTGGGGTTCTCTTCACTTGCTTGTCCTTGCTGGATTAACATACCTTCACTGCATCTGGACATCGGCCAGAGCTCGGGAGACGGTTCGACAGGACAAAGTTAGCAGTACTTGTACGGACTGCACAATCGTTCTGGTGTTAATGGCAGAACGATGGGAGGCCGCGGGCCCATACCGGGATATCTTTCAGGTGCTGGCCAGTCGTACCATGACGATGATGGTGGACAAGATTTCTACAAAGGTGACTTTGCCGTGTGATCCAGCGCAGTTAATTGACCCTGTTCCAGGGGATTTGGCGCAGTGGATGGCAGAAATCACAGATTTGGGTATGGAGGGCGGGATTGATCCTTTGTTGACTGGTTTTATAAGTAGCTTACCACCTCCGGAGCAGGAGGGCAACTTGGGACCATCACGGGAGGATCTTCTCACTCCTTATTTTTCATAGGAGCAAGGATGAATGGAACAGAGAATAGTGCAGAATCCTTTCGTTGGCTCAAGCCCATGAGGAGTTATGATCTAAATGATGATAAGCGCAATAATAATTGTTGCCTGTAACGCCAGGATAAGCGACGTGAGACCAATAATCACCACAATATTCTAGACACCCAATGATGAGGAATAACGGCAGGTTTTTGCAACCGAATTGTAATTCAAACGCAGAGTTGTAGAAGACGGCTTCAATTTAAATATCCTATCCTGAGGGTGGGCTACTAGAGAACAGCTTACACTTTTTTGTGGGTTACTTCAAATCAGGCAGGAGTTCACCTACAGTAGCACACCAAAAGTCTAAGACCACCCCTTCTATACCGCCCGTTTCTGCCAGTGATTCTGCCGCACTAAAAAACCTTATAATATTCAATTTTTAGTATACTGAGCGCGATACTATAGCGCGACGTAGTAAACTAGGCTATATTAGCAAGGCGGCAAAGTAGGCGGTAAAAGGGGTAGTCTCAGACTTTTGGTGTGCTACTGTAGTCTTGCACAATTCAAACTACTTATACAATATAACGGCTGTAAAGACTCTCATTGGCGAAGGCCTCTCCAGGCGTATCTATACTACTACTGGCCAAGCAAAATCGGTCGGTAATTTGACCCGAGGGCACATTTTGAGATAACTCACTAACTTGATGCATAATCAACATAACAAAGCCTTCTATTTCCACATTATACAGTTTTCATTTTTCGTCACAATGAATTATTCAGAAAGAACATAAAACACTGATGTTTACCTCTATTTGGGAGCCTCTGCCGTCACCTAGGCCCGGTGCATACTAACCCATCTTTTGAGCGTTTCTCAGCCCTCGCATTTCTAGAACTTAAAGTCACTAGCTGTAAGGATATGTTAGCAATATTCCATGTATTAAGGTCGGAAGACTTACGATCAGCCAGTTGAACCTTGTTCAACACTCTAGGACCTGTCTCTCCCTCCAATAGCCCGTTGCTGGGCTTTCCTTCCTCGGCCACACGCCACTTCCACATAGGTGTGAACTGATCAGGAACACGCTCTAGTTGGTTTTTAACGTGCTGTAAATTTCGCGAGGTTAGCCATGGAAGCGATAAGAGTATGGCGTACAGTGGCAACTTACTCTGCCAAGAATCGGTAGGAACTTGAAGGCATGTCCACTGTAAAAATCGAGTTAAATGGTGATCTCTGTTGGATAGTGATGGCAAAAGCACTTACGAGCCACCAGTGCAAATGAAAAGCGAATCCGAATAGCCGGGGACGTAGTCGATGACGTACTGTTTAATGGTGAGCTAGATATTCCGGTTCAGGCGAAATTTACTTACATCGGTGTCAATGCTATCGGTGTACCAGCATAGCTATAGATCTCAGGTTAGCATATAGGTGTACGGCTTTGCGGGATAGACGAGTATACCTTGCTCTCCGTAATTCCAAACTCCACCAGCTCAGGGAATGCTTTGGCAATGACAGCCTTCATGCGTTCAAGGCCATACAATGGGACTGTGTTGATGGGATTCTTGGTGTACTTGGTTCGCGGAGTTGAAATACGGCTATATCATGTCAGCACTCGAAGCTGGGTTCACAACTCTCTATAACGTACAGGTTTGGTTCCGTGGGATGATCTTCGAAGTTGGTGAACTGCAAAATCATCAGTAATTAGCATGATAAAACAGGTAACACTAAAAATGATAATTTTTGCTTACTTTGCGACCACGGAAGCCAATCTTGAGTCGTCCTTCTTTGCTAATAGGGAAACCACTCCCCTGGTAGTAACTGAATAAAAATCATTAGAAAAGAGGCGATTTGCCTTTCCAAGCGAGTGAAACCTACTCATCACCGTCTCCACTGCGGTAGTGCCAAATAGGGAAATTCTTGACGTTGAACCTTTCCCAAAGGTCTGTTCTCTCCTTGGGAATATCGATAAACATCACTGTGCCTGCTGTGGTCTCCACGGCACGATGAGCTTCGGGGATAATTGATGCAGTCCAGCCGCCAGCTAGGATAGGAAGGTCAGTATTGAATAACTAAGGACATGGGGGATATCCTTACAGGCGACTATCACAAGATCACCGAAGTGGCTCAGCCCATCACATGTTTTGATGCCTGTGACCTTCTTCTCTTGGTCATTCTTCTCGACGATCAAGGTCTGTAGCTTGCCCTGGGGATCGCCCAGGACAAACTTAACGCCAGCCTTCTCGCACAGGAACCGGGCGTAAACACAAGCCTGAGGGGTTTTCATTCATTAGTAACCAATAAAGCAGATGGGATCCATGGGCACTTGAAACTAATTACCCTGTCCGCAATGTTGACTCCGGCATTAATATCGAAGAAGCCGTTAGACGCGCCGTCGTTCATCTTATCGATAATGTGGAATTTCTCGAGCCATTTTGGGTCGATCTTGCCAAGACGCTCTTCGTCCTCCGCATTGCCCTATGGTAATTACCAGTCAGCTACTGGATATCGAGTTGACTCAGTCCTAGATCCACGTACTCGGACAAATTGCGCGTCCCGGAAGGCAGGTGCTGTCTTTCTCATGGTCTCAAGACTCTCCGCATAGAAGTCTCGCAACTCGTGGCCCTCCGCGAGGAACCAGACACCACAGATCCATAGGAGCTGATCCTCGGGACTGAGGCCGGCTGGAAGCTCGGAGGGAGCGCTTTCGCGGATGGCCTTGTTCCACTCGAGCCACATGTCTCTACTCTCAATGGCAAGTGTTTGATACCTAGACGCGAGATCAGTTACTGTTCATTTAGATGCGGTGCCCTGCGGACTACCTACTGGTGCTTCTCCCCATACGCCATCCGGAAAATCTTGTTAATGTCCGCGGACGCCCCATCACAGCCATTTGATGGGTTATAATAATTCTTGTCGAAAGCGCATCGGTCGAAAATTGTGATGTTTTTATACCCACCACGGGTCAGCCACAAGGCTGTACTCAAACCAAACACACCACCACCAACAATGATAATGTTGGAATCAGGAGAGACCATTTTGAGAAAATTGAGGGTACAATTTCGACCTATCTGGAAAGCGACGCAGAGGGAAAGGGTCTTGAGATTGATACGATGTTTTTCAAGAGTTAAATACTCAATGTTTGATAACACTAGACTGGGTCTTATTACCAATGCGGCTTATTATCTCCAAAGCGGGGATAGGCTTATCGAACAATCTAGCTGCTTCCGATATCGCGTCTCGGAGTCTTCCCAGGATAGCGGGGACACGCTTCCGATAACGCCTCTCGGATTCTTTCCAGGCTGGTGGCGATAGACTTACCGAACGATCCATGCTCCTTCCGATAACGCCTCTCGGATTCTTCCCAACATATGGAGTACATGGTCCCAAGAAAATAACATAGTATCGATACTTTCCCCGCTATTTTTCTGCCAGGTTTATCACCTAACCAAGCACATGACTTCATTAAGCCAATCAATTGATCTGTCCATCCACTACTACATCTATCGTACTCAACCATTGGCTTATCGATTAATTGGTACCTCTTGGTCGCCGTATCTCTCCGAGATATACTCTCTTATCCAGCTCTAGACGTTCTTAATCGGATTAAGATCAGGCGAATATAGCGGGTGATCAGTGCATTCAATCTGCTATCTCTCTAGCTCCGCGCGTGTAGATCTTGACCAGTGGCATCTCGCACCATCTTGCATCAAGAGTGGTTCAATCTGACCTATCATCAAGTTGATAGTATATGAACGCTAAGGTTTATAGTCAAAATCTTGCCGAATTCATCGGTCCCTATCATTTTTCCTAGAATTTAAATGGACCCTTTCAACTACTAGCAAAAGATCCCCAAAACATCCCGGATTTATAAGATTACGTTGTACTAGAACCATAGTAGGATGATAAATCTCATCAGGAAATCGGCGAACGTACAGACTGCGGTGCCAGTCAGATAAATATACGCTTCATTGGTAAACGCAATCTGACTCCAGTTCTTGCACGTCCAATTTCAACGCCGTTCGGCCCAAGTAAGGCGTTTAATATCGTGCCCACGCCCTTCTACTGTAGGGCATTCAAGCGCTGGAATTCTCGAAGCGTTTCGCCGCATACCGGTATTACTGTAAGCTTGGCAACTTGGCGCTCCGGAGCAATTCGAATAGGGGTGGCAAATTTTTGACTGACCGCTCGATGTCCCTTGGGACCCCTGTAGCGGGAACAGGGGATCCAGACTGCCCGGTGTCTTCCGGATTAGCGTCAAACTCTAATACACTAGCCGGGTTCTTCCGAGGTCCCCAATAACAAATCTGCACTAGGACGGCAGAACCCGAGTAGTGCTTAGTAGACCATAGTGGAGTCTGTGCACTCCACTCATGGGCACGAAAATGTGGAGGTGACGAGATAAGGCTTGAACTTAATTGCTACGAGTTCCCCGGAGTGGCACGATAGACGTGAAGAGACGTCAAAGCACCTGAGATAGGCAACGTCTCACCGTTGACTCTCGAAACCTTTTAACTATCTCGTTTCTCTGCCTTTATTGAATAATTCTACAAGCCCGTCCAACAAAAAGAAATAAACCTAGCTCTAATCCGCTCAGCAACAGTATATTCTGCCAGCAAAGATGGGCTTCAAAGAGGCTTATGCCCGATCCCCTCTGGGGAAGTATCGTGAAGTAATCAGACTGGCGCCCCGTGAAGTCATCTACAATGGCAGCTTGATTCTTTCTGCAATCCTTTATGCTATGTCTGCGGTTCCGATGTGTGAGTTCAGCTTCCCCTACCTCTTCTTGTTCCGGGGCGATATGGTTGCTCATCCTTTGTTAAAGCCTGGGATCAAGGCTCATCCGCCGTTGTCCCTTCGCTGCCGGGTTTCCAGAACCATTTCCACATCACTTCCGGGGCGAATGCGTCGCAGATCCGAAACTTTGTCTCCTTGGTTTTTATTGGCATGGCGGCCGGCGCTGCATCCTCCTTCCTTCTGAACGACTTGATTGGTCGCCTGTGGTCATTCCGTCTCTACCAGACCGTCTGGATCATCGGACAAATTGTTGCCATTTTTGCCACAAACTTGCCGACTCTTTGGGCAGCGCGCATTATTTCGGGGTTGGGGATTGGCGCTCTTTCTGTGACAGGCCCCATGTCGATTGTCGAAATCGCCCCAGCGGAAATACGCGGTCTCCTCACAAGCTGGTTCGTTGTCGCCATGGCTACAGGATTGTTCGTGTCTATATTTTGTGTGTATGGCTTGTTTCTCCATCATGCTGCGAACAGACTCCAGTACCAGATTGTATGGTTTGCACCATGCATCTTCATAGCGCTGTGGATCATCGCCAGTTTCTATCTCTGTGAATCGCCCAGGTGGCTCATGATGGTTGGTCGCAGGGCTGATGCGATCAAAACCCTCACCAGGCTGCGTGGCTTGCCCGAGGACCATCCTCGTGTCCAGGCAGAACTCAGTGACATCGAACAGTCTATTAACTCCCTGACAAATGGAGAAAAGAAGACTTATCTGGCAAACTTAACCAGTGTTGTGAAAGAGACATTCACATCTTCCTCTAACGTGCGCCGCGTGATACAAACTGTGATCTCGTACGGACTTGCGCAACTGTCTGGAGCGAATGCTGTCACTTCCTATCTTATGCCTATCCTTGAGATCATTGGAGTGGCGAAGGGAAATACGTCGGAAAAGATGTTCATCAGTGGTATGTATGGCATGGCCAAATTTTTTATTGCCATCATTGCCTCCTTCTTTTTCATCGATGCTCTTGGTCGTCGAAGATCGCTTTTTATCGGCGTCATCACCCAGATGATCTCCGATATCTATATCGGCGTCTTCATCAAGTATAAGCAAGACGGCAACCCCTCCAATGCTGCATCGACAGCCGCTATCGCTGCAATCTTTATTCACGCATTTGGATACTACGTTGGTAAGTCTTTCCGTTTGTGAATGCTTGTCTCCTCTGATCAATTTTAATCAATTCACGCAGGGCTTTGCATGCTCCCCTACATTTTCGGTGGTGAAGTCTGGCCTAACCGGATCCGCTCCTTTGGTGGTGCCCTGAGCCAGACTTTCCACTGGGCTTTCAGCTACGGTTTGACGTTCGGCATGCCGTCAATCCTTAGCGACATGAACAACTGGGGCGCCTTTCTCTTCTTTGCGGGCTGGTGTTTTACTGCCCTCTGCTACGTGTACCTGATGGTTCCTGAGCTTTCGGGTCTGAGTGTCGAGGAAGTAGACAATGTTTTCAAGGGGCCATGGCTCAATGCTCGCCGCTCCACCAAACATGTTATCGACGGTGTTGACGATGTCGACCGGGAGAACTTTGGCAAGGTAACGTAAGCATGTTGCCTCCCACCTTTGATCGATCATGAATCGCTAAAACTCAGTGCTTAGAAATAACGGAGCAGTGGAGGACACTAAGATCCCGGTCCCCGTTTAATCAACTTGATTTGAATAATCTTGGGAGCTGTACGCCGTGGACACACCCTAGCTCAATATTGCTCACTGCCAACTTGCCACCTTACAGTATTCTGACTGTATTCCATTCCTTTCGAATTCTTATTTCTCTGACCCGGAAGAGCACACTTCTGCTTATCTGCTTGCGTCATCTACGAGAATATCATTATTGTTACAAATATTCAGGTTCCCCTAGTCTAGTGGGAAGATAAGCAAGCGCCGTTGTTGGAGTAACTGTACGATAGTTGTTCTGATTAACCTTGTTTACTGCAATATATTTCTACCTTGATCAAGGGTCCATCCGATCGTACGCACTTTCGCTAAAAAAACGTCATTACCCAGAAAGAAAACTCGAGATGAGAACTATCTTCGTATTCACGGAGAGACTCTATGTTAGGATTGAGGCAGTCACGCGACATACGGTACCAGTGAATAGGTACTTCTTTTGATGTTTACAGGTTTAGCATAGCTCATTAGGAGGGCCCATGATATGGCAGTGAATCAAAAAGCCTGAAGCTAATGTTGGAACAGTTGGGTCCGAATCAGTCCTAGCTGTCCTTTGAGCAAAGTATTCCACCGTGGTCGTTCTATGCAGCGGTGTTGTGTACGGCGTAGTTTCAACCCATTTGCACTTTTTCTGAAGATTCTGTGTAGCAAGGTCTGGACTAGAGCTTCCCTCACCATCGGTTATATCTTGTGCTGCGTTGCATCCGTTCACCGATTATTCTCAACTTTGAATATACTTAGCAAGTTATTAAGAAGAAGAGTCTATTCAACGAAAAAATTGAATCTAAGGAAGGAAACAGAAGAGAGAAAGATAGAGATAAGCTCTCTTTTAACTACGACATGCCGGAACCTTCTATATCGGAGCTTTCCATACTATTTGATCGTCACACCAAAGCCCGCAGGGTAGGTAGACTCTCACCATCCAGATATATATAACTGCCAATAATGCCTCCTGTATTATCAAGGCAAGCATTGAACGCTTCTCCGACAGCATGGCAATTTGAGGGCGCCAAGTTGTTTAGTGCACATGAAGCTGTTACAAAGGAGCCGGCTGGAAGAACCAGGTACGTTCAACGAAACAACTAAAGTGAAGAAGTAATAGCTTTCTTAGCTTGTAGCCTGAGCTGAAGTCACACTCAAAGTAGAATTTATCAAGATTAAATAATCTTAAATCTCTTAACGGCCGTTTCTAGACGTGTAAAGCCCCCACTGAGGGCGGAAAGGCTAGGCGGTAGAGCAAACGTAGTCGAAAACTTAGGGAACGCCACTGTACATGTAAGAATGATCGCGAAAACCCTGGGTCCAGTGTGGAAATTCCGTTGGCCCTTGAGACCGATTATTATCGCGTAACCGATAATAAAAAAGGTCAATGTACTGATACAAATGGCATACACAAGTTTTACCGGTCAGATATGTTAGAGGGCAAGATAGCAGATATAGAACCAGCAGCATAATGTAGGACCGCCTTGAGCTGCGCATTAATATGTTCGAATCCTATTGCCTTTGTGATTTACCAAGGGTAAATTTTTTTCCCATGGAGAATGGACCAACAATCATTCCCATTTCCCGAGGTGAGATGGCTAACAAGCCGTAGTTGTAGGCAGACTTTACAATCGTCGGGCGGCATCCGCTTTGCAATTAACAGTGTTCTTTTCACTACATATTCAGATCGAGGAATTTACTTCGAGCTATTATAACTAGTCGATCATACAAATCTTCCATTGGGGATACCGACCAATGACTAGCATTTTTCTTATGTTATGAAAATTTTCAGCGATGGTTAACGTGAAAAGATTCAGTGAATAATGGAGCGTCCTAAATCAGCTTAATATCTTGATTTTCGGTGGGGTCAGGTAAAGAGTCCCGATTTACTGCCGTAAAAGAAAGGAAAAGTCAGAGACTATCTTTTTTTTCAGTGACCAATTTCAAAAGTTTCCTCAAGCCCCTCCAGAGTATAGATTGTCAGTGGCTTTTTGTCCCTGATTTAGGAGCTCATTTTTGCCTGGGAATTATTCAAGCATTCACACCAAAAACAGCAAAAGGTGACTTGGAGATGCTAGAATAAAGTCATATGCATAGTGTGACACATCAATGATTCTTTTATCATACCAAATGATCAAATGCATCAATGGTCGTTCTTGAAGTGGAGAACGGTGGAAGACTGTGACTAGTAACGATTAGCCCAACTGTTAAAGTGAGTAGGGAAGTGGTCAGATGACTGATATATGCACCAAGAGACTAACTAAATCTAGTTAGTAGCTAGGTGGTCAATACGAGTCGAGTATGGAGATTCATCCCAAGAACCCCTCAGATAGCTGCCTAACAAAACATCAAAACAAACAATACTATCTAGCTCGTAGGGCCTAAACTTATCAGCCACCATCAAAGCTAGTCGAGTAGGGCCGGCAGTCATTAGCCGCTATTAAAATTCACTAGTCCTAGTTATCGATTACTAGCTAAGAGATCCTGGGCGGCAAGAGCTCCACATGTGTCTCTCCGGGCCACCCGCTCGTTCCGAATCAAACCCAATCACGGCAGGGACTAATTTTATGACCTAAAATTGGCGATATCCGCCCTGAGAAAAGATCTACAAACAGGACATGACTGATACTCCTTTCTCACGTGTCGACAAGATGATTGAGCAGTAAAACGGTGTATATACGTACGGGTCTTGAACCTTCGCCGACAAGATGCTTCACATCATTACCTTATGTGGAAGTGGAGCATTATCCGCCATAATTCATAGGAGTCCACTGCTTAACTAATAATAGTTCATTAGGTAGGATCGGCCTCCTGTATTTCTGTCGGCCATATTAGACGTCAATGCCTGAGACAACATCCACGGTTGCATCATTGTCAAACATGCCGTACCTCTTAATGCACGTCGAAAAAGGGGACCTAGAAAAAGTATAAATATGAGGTAAATATTTCGAGCCACTTCACTAATTTCCTTCAGATTATTTAGCCTCAATCTATCTTGCAAGAAACCAATTTCCCTCAACTCCAATCGCCAACATGCAGATCAAGAACGTTGTTTTGTCTGTGTCGCTTGCGGCCACAGCAGCGGCTCTCCCGGCCATCGAGTCCAACACTTTCAACGTCATCACAATTCATTCGGGCTCAAATGTTCAGTATGCCAGCTTCAATGCCGCCAAGAGCAGCATCTTCGCTGGTCTGTCCTCCCAGAATGCCAGCTGTGCCCGCCCCAAAGAACAAATTGCTACTTTCTACCTCAACAATGAGGCTCTCTACCTTTACGACGAATCCGCTACTCCCCAAGAGCTCTACGTTGATCGTTCCGGAATGGGTATGTCTTGAACAGCCTCTAACTTTTACCAGGAACACTTGCACTGACGCTTGGATAGGCCAGGGAAAGATTGGATACACCACAGGTGCTCAACCGGCCCCGATGAATGCTGAGCGAGTGGGCTGGGCCATCAAGGACGAACACCTCCAGTTCGCTGGCAGTGATCTCATTGCCTGCCCCAACAGCATTGGCGGCTCCTGGTCCATCTGGGCATCCACCGGTGTGGCCCACCCGGGTGGAAATAGCAACTGTGTCGGCATTGCCGCTCGTGCTATCGAGACTTCCACGCCTAATGGCTGTTTGTATACTCAGTAAACCGAGCAACTTAGCTTGCTTTTCTGTTATTGAGACGCATATTGTTGATAGCATCAGAGAGTCTGCTATACGCAGAGAATAGGGGAACGGGGGAAAGATGAAGACGTTCGGGTGAAGGCTAGCGGCCAGCAATCCACGAGACTTCGGCATTGCCGGGGATCTAGCTAGGGATCTCAGGGCTTCAGAGGCCGGCAGCGTCCCCCAAAGGGAATGGTGTGTGGCGTCTGAAGACCTATGGGCCGCTCTTAACAGCTTTTCCTGTTTTCTTCCTTTATCAATCGATGATTTTATCCTGATTCTGATTCCGCTTAATCTTATTTGTTATGGATATATATAGATCTTAGATCTCTTCGGGGAGTAGCAGATTGGTAAATTCCTGTTAATTATAGTATTTAGCTTCTTAATCTTATCTTTAACTCTCTTATAAGAGGATATATATATTCAGGCCCAAGATGGTATAGGAAGGATCATCTTCTAGTGCTTATTAGTAGTCAGTCCACCCGTAGGCTGTACAGACCTACCCGGCCACCTTGTGCTGATGCTGCAATCGCCTTGTGACCACAAGGGATTAAACCATCTGGTCACATGACGGTATAATGGGAGGTCCTTTCATACCTAGTAGCATTCCCGATCACATGCTGATACCTATTAAGTTGATCCAGCACATCCTTTATTGATCCCTAAATAGGACAAGTCGTCATTTTGTAAAAATAGAGGTTGAATTCGGAAGTACGCTTGGTATGTTTGTCTCCCATTACCTATATATTTCACGGCTTCGTGGCTAGGAATTTTCCAGTGCTGAGAATATCACCATCCTCTTCCCGACCATTCATTGCCCGATCTATACGAAACTGCGAGGTCTTAAAAAGCCCTGGCATAGTTGTGTCTTCGAAAGGGATCCCATGACTGATCATTCGCGCAAGCTCCCTAGCTGCAAGCCATATAACCGGCATTCCATGACCATTGAAGCCGGCAATGATGAACTGATTGTCTTTTCTGGGAATATGACCGATGTGAGGATTCGAGTCGTATGAATAACCCATCACACCAGACCAGATCGAGTCCACCTTTGCGCCCGTATTTTCCCATCCGTTGAAGGTTCGCTGCATGTAACCGTCGTAGTAATTCTTTGCTGCGTCGATCAAAATGCTGTCATCCACGTTGTTATACCATTGTTCCTTAAAGGATTTGAACTTGGCGGCTGCGCCCCCGACAACGATACTCCCATCCGCTCGAGGAATCAGATATGAGAGTGTATTATCATCGGTCCGATGAATGTAGGAGTTGTTCAAGAGTGGAGGTTTCACCCCTTCTGGCACGGTAATCCGACAGCATATCCCTTTGCAGGGAACAATATTCCTGTTGTACTCAGGAAGAAGACCAGAGACATACGCGTTATTCGCGTGAATAACTTTGTATGTGTGAATTTGTCCTCGTGGAGTTTGAACTAAGAAACCACCAGTAGGATCGGTCTCGATTGAATTCACTGGTGTTTGGGTTTGAAGATTGATCCTATTTCCTGCCACTAATTTCTGAAGCAAATGCATCACAAATTTGTATGGCCACATTGTTGCGGCAGTAAATGATGCACAAGCAATAGCGCCCTTGACACCACAGATCTGGTATAGGTTAGTTTGATAATTCTGACCGTTGTAATGTGTACTTACTCCTTCAACATTTTCGCCAGTGTAAAAGATGACATCATCCATGTATTCAAACCCCTTGGCCACCATGAAATCATAGACTTCTTTTGCCTTCTTTGCTGCTTCCTCGTTGCACCACACATCGATGCTTCTCGATACCGTCAGATCGCAATCAATTTTCTCCTCCTCAATAAACTTTTTGAGCGCTCGGATGTGAGCAATTTCAAACTCTGCAATCTCAGCGCCGGCCCTTGAGCCCGCGCGGCCAATATACGTCGGGATGTGACCGTATAAATCGGGACGTAGATGACCACCATTGCGTCCAGTCGCTCCAGAACAAGCCGCCCGAGCTTCCAGAATGGTAATTGACCCAATTCGATCGTCCGCTTCCTGGGCAAGATGGTAGGCCGTGCCGACTCCAGCGTATCCAGCACCAATGATGACGATATCACTATGAGGTAGCAGCTCCTCTGTTGAGCGATGGTGACTGAGTACATGTTCCTCCGCCTGCCAGAAAGATCCCGTCGGATTATCCACGGGGAAACATTGGGGATGGTGCGCCATTGCTTTCTTCTTGCAGAGCCTGACGGGCTAAAGGCCAAGATGAACACCGTATTAAAAAGTGGCGGCAAGAAAACTCATTTTTAAAAATCAGTCATTTTTTTTCGCCTAGTATCAATTGATAAATCAAGAGTGGTACGTTCTCCGCCGGACCGGCTGCTTTGTTTTACAGCCACCGGGTTGGTTGTCTTGGACCCGGTCCCACCCACGGTTTGCCGGACAAGGTTCTTATCTCATTTCCCCACAAGATACGGCGACAACTTTGGTTTTGAGACCTGTAATTTGATAGCATGATAAGCATTGACTATGTGATGCCGTGGAAGGTATCGATAACTGCCGGTAAAGGTGGTGTTCCGGTCGGCTTGGGCACGCAACTTCTATTTATTTCTAATTAGACACAGCTAACTGGCGGAGCTCTGCTGCATCGGAGCGAGCTGCTGAATCAAAAGCAAACCATTCCCCCTCCCCACCTCCCCAAAATACAAAGTGACTACCAAAGTCTGAGTTTCCACTGGCAACGTTGCCTTTCAGTTCCTTTACCTATACATCTGCCATGATCTCTTCGAGCAGCATTCACGCAAAAACCGACACCTCGCTACCCCCTGGGTCCTCCAACAGCAAACATGAAAAAAGCCAGGTCACCACCGACCAGGATGCTAAGGCCCACAGTGATGATTTGGAAGCTGCCACTGCACAGCTTGAAGAAGTCCACATATTCAAACAAGGGCTTCACCAACGACACATTCAAATGATCGCCCTGGCGGGCACAATTGGCACAGGATTATTCTTGGGTTCTGGTCGGGCGATCGCAACCGCTGGTCCCCTCGGCGCTTTTCTCGCGTACTCAATCATTGGGCTTGCTGTGTCAAGCGTGGTTTTTGGTGTTGGAGAGATGGGTGCCTTGGCTCCTCTCAATGGCGGGGTTATTCGTTATGCAGAGATTTTCTGTGACCCTGCATTGGCATTTGCTAATGGTTGGAACCAAGTATATTCCTATGCGGTCTCCATACCAGCGGAGATTGTTGCTGCCGCCGTTATCATTGAGTTTTGGGCTACAGTCAACAACGCGATTTGGATCACCGTATTTGCAATCTTGATGATTGTTACTGCACTGCTCTTTGTCCGAATCTATGGAGAGCTCGAGTTCGCCTTTTCAATGTTGAAGATAATGCTTATTGTGGGGATCAATATTATGGCTTTGGTAATAACCTGCGGTGGAGGACCGAATCATGTCGCGACTGGGTTCAGCTATTGGTCAAACCCTGGACCCTTTGTTCAGTACTTGGGCATTTCAGGATCCCTTGGGAGATTTTTAGGCTTCTGGAAGACCTTCAACAACGCCCTATATGCTTACTCGGGAATTGAGAACATAACAGTGGCAGCTGCAGAGACGAAAAATCCTCGCAGAGCAATTCCGATGGCCGCAAGACGCATATTTATCCGAATCTTTTTGTTCTATGTCCTCTCCATTTTTATGGTCGGGTTGGTCGTGCCATCAAATGACTCCGATCTCCTGAGCTCCACAAGTACAGCCTCTCAATCGCCATTCGTTATAGCAGCTCGAAATGCCGGCATCAAGGTGGTTCCGTCCATAATCAATGCCGTGGTTCTAACATCGGCTTGGTCCTCTGGAAATTCTAGCATGTTAGGAGGTTCCAGGATCCTGTTCGGTATGGCAGTTCACGGACATGCGCCTGCTGTATTTAAGCGAACCAACCGCATGGGAATACCTTATGTTGCCGTGGTATTCTTCGGATTTTTCATGGCCCTGGGCTACATGACCCTCTCGAGCTCCGCAAGCACGGTATTTACGTGGCTTCAGGATATCGTGTCAATATCTACACTGGTCAACTGGATCTGCATATGTGTTGTTTATTTGAGGTTTCTATACGGTTGCAAGAAGCAGCGTATCGACCGCCATAAAGAACTTCCATGGGCAGCCCCATTGCAGCCATATACTACCTGGGCATCGTTGGCCATTTTTCTTCTTCTTTTTATTACTGGTGGATTCAGCACGTTTATCAAGGGACACTGGAGCACGGAGACATTCATCTCCTCCTATCTTAACTTGCCTCTCATTCTTGTGGTCTATGCTGGCTACAAGCTCACTATGAAAACAAGGATGCTACCTCTGGAGGAAATTCCAATCCGGCCGTTCATTGAAAACTTCCGGAACAACCCTGAGCCGGAGACCAAGCGCCAGAAAGGCCTCCAAAGACTAAATATTCTGTGGTCATAAGAGCAATATTCTTGGTTATTATTGATCAAACAATGTGAACTTAGATTTTTGCTTGAATTATCTTAATACTTTGGATTGCTGGGGTTTTCGCATGAAACGTAGGTGTAGGATTCAATCTTGAGATACAGTACTTTTCATTGAAAATAGCAGGGTCAATCAAGTGATATCTTTATCTTCCTATGGAGAGTCGATGCTGACGACAATGTCAAGAAGAGAGCAGACCGAGAGAGGAGAAGGGGGAAGCCGACGAGAAAAGCTATGGACCGGCGTTGAGCCAAACACGGTCGCTGACGTCTTGTGCTTGTGCAAAGTAGAAATGGCTGCCAACATTGCTCAATGCATTAAAATGAGATAGAGTGTGAGCACTATACAGGTAGTCTGCAGAGAACACTGAAGAAAATGATTGTGTGTAACACTGTGGGGCTATTTTTTACTGACCAATAGACATGCACCGGCCCGAGGTATCCTAATCAGGAAGTTTCGAGATAAAAGCAGCCAGCGGAATTGCCGGTGCGGGGCGGAAGCTGCTTATCACGTTGATTTCCGAAGAAACCCAGACCACCGGAGACACTGGCTGAATTTAATAGGAAGACTTGAAGGCGTTCAAGCCCAGAAGGAACGTTTGCAAAGCTACAATAAACTCCTACAATCGCCCTTTGTCAACGGCATCGCATTTTCGGCTACTCAGGTGTGTTAGTTTCTGAGCTGGACTCGTTTTATCCCCTCCTGGGATAATTTAGAGAAGCAGAGAACTTAACCCATATGGCGCGACAAAAGCATGTCGTGTTTGATGTTGTGGGGACCTGCGTCTCTTTCGATGCATTTTACGAAACTATCAATTGCGTTATGGGGAAAAAGCTTATCGCCAAAAACATCACACCATCATTTTTCGGATTCAGTTGGATGACTGCGGCTGAGCTCGAGTTCACGTTCCTATCGATCTCTGAGCGCTACCGGCCATACAGAGACGTACTTGGTGCCATATTCTACCGCACTCTCTATATGGCAGGTATTCAACAGCCTAGAGACTTTGCCACCGATCTCGAAAGAGATCAATGCGTTCAAGGATATTCTGAATTGGAGTTGCGGCCCGGGACAGAAGAGTGTTTTCGTACATTAAGGAGTGCCGGTTTCACCATCTGGTGCCTCACAACCGGCGACAGCAAACGAGTCCAAGGTTATTTCGACCGCGCCGGCGTGAGTATGCCGGCTGGAAACCTAATTACCTGTGACGTGCAAGGAATCGCTAAGCCTGCACTAGCAGCATACAAACCTGCGCTTGATAGAATCTCCTCTGATGATGAGAAGTGGTTTGCAGCGGCGCATATGTGGGATGTCTCTGCGGCTACCAAAGTCGGGTTCCGGGGTGCGTATTGCACCATTTATGAGAAAGAGCCTTGCTCTGAGATCTTTGATTCCAGCATGGATGTGCTTGCAGACACATTGCCCGAAATGGCTGAGCAGATCGTGGCCGCCTCAGCTTAGTTTCCATTCTATACAAAAGGGTCCCTCAAAATATTGACGCCCATAGCCTAGTTGAAACTAGCTTGTGTAATTAGAAAGGTGCGGTAAAAATTGCGTGAATCTTGTATAACCACATTCAAGATCTAGAGTAGTATGTTAGTTCCGCCATTCTCAATAGCAACAGCAATTGATTTGCACTTGCCCCAGTTGCACCCGCTTTCATGGCGTTTAGCCGCCGGTGATCTCGCGATAACACGTAAGGGCTGAACAAGAGCGAAATTACGACAATGAAGATTGCAATTTGCCGGAAATCGCAACGGATGGCGGTTTGTAATGATGGGATTCTCAGTTTCTTCGGCCCCAACCATGACCATGTCACTAACAGCGTAACCAAAGATTTGCCTGTATAAAGACCTGCTAGAACGCCAAGAAATTCGTCGAAGGAGCCTGTTTCAAGACATGCATTCAGCTGACAAGCATATTTCCACTAGCGAAATCCAAATTTATCATGTGTAGTAGCTCCACGGCGTGTTATGACGAAAATGTGTAGCATCAATCCGCCGATAGTTGTGAGTCCGATCGAGGCCAAGAAGAACTCCAGCTCTCCATACACACGCACCAGAATGCAATCTATTACGAATCTCGCGACATGAAGCATAGTGATGCACCCCATCGGGAATACATTATCGGGCCAGCAATCGATTATCAAGGCGGCAGCGTTCAACTCGATGGGGCAGTCTATGGTGAACTGATAATGGACTCGCGCATTGTACTATAACCGCCGCGTGTCGGCTGTACTGAATACTCCTTTCTTCTCAATTAATCTTCCATCCTGATGTTGATTTCACTTGATCTTATTCATCATGAATACATATAGACCATATATTAATAGCCTTTTCTATCAACCAAACTAGATATTATTTGGCTATTATCTAACATAATCGATAAGACGGTCAAGTATGAAGTCATGTGCGCTTAAGCGCACATGACACCTTCAAATCTGTGTTTTATTAAAATGTAACTAGTCGGAATAATACTGAGTCTGGGTGAAGTCCCACCGTTGCGTTGGAATTAAAGACCAATACCTGCCCTAAAGGTATATCCGTGGCGTGAGTATTTTAGATGCAGCTTAAGCTTTTATTATGTAAGTCATCCCATGGAATGCATGTTGATCCTAATATATTTTATTCTTGGATTTGGGCCTCAGTGGTGGCTTCGCAAGTATCACTCACAGTCTCCCACATCTGTAGCACAAACACAGCTATATGGTTCCTGCCGCGCTGGATGGCGAGACCCATATTTGCGTTCTTAGGTGTCTTGGCCTTTGTTGTATTGGTAGCAGCGGTACCTCGCATCCCTTCCAGTATGCCTTTCTCTCCCCATCGTACATTGAGTAGGACGCATATGTGACTGAGTATTCTTCGTTGATAGAAATGGGTTGGAAACTCGAATTCGAGCTATCATCTTGACTATTGCATGATGAAATCAGCCGCTAGCGGCTGAACAGGGCCATGTTCAATAGAACGGCATGAATACTCGATCAGAGAAGCTTGTTCGTCTTCAATTTTGCAAACTTTGATGGGTTCAATGTCAACTCGAACGGACTCCTTTTAACTCAGGGCAAGATCTGTAATAAACTCCCGTGTGTACTATTAGAAGTAGTTACCTATGTTTACTGCATGTTATTACTTGAAAGCTGCTGAATCTGGTTCATTTTAGCCCAAATTTCTAGTTCCATGCGCCTGTACATCTATCATTCCTATAAATGAAGTATTATTTCACTCCCAACCCATATAAACGCAAAATAGACTAGAGTAATGCATTGCGCTCATTCAGTGACATCACATTCGATCCAATGTGCTTTCATAAAGTGGGGATGAAATGCTTAGAGTCACTCTCCTGCTGGCTGAATGATTCAGAGAAGGCCGCGATTCCACCAATGATACCGACTGCCATGAAGAGGAGCGAGATAATAGACCAAACCACACCCCAGCATTGAGAAGATCCTCCATACCTCTGGGCAAAAACGCTTGCATCCGACGTGTTTACTTTACGCAGGATAAGATCATCGCACTGAGAAATCAATCAATCTCTTGATGTCAGAGACAACAGTAAGATGATGGAGACTTACAATATCCCAAACACTGTAGAGGGCAGACATGACGCCAATGAAAAGCTGTTGAGCCTAGTTAGAGACGGTCTTCCCACAGGGATGTAAAAGCATTTCAGAAGAATCGTTCTCCGGTTCCAGAACTTACCACAACCCATCTTAGGGCTTCACCATGGGCGATGAACCAGCATGCCACCAGCAGACCGACCGCGAGGAGGATTGTAAGGATAGTCAACCAATCTTTCCGAGCCCACCATATAGTCAGGAGAAAGCAGACGCCGAGGACTATGCTTGCCACCTTGCTGGCAACAATGTCAAATCCCGCAAAGATCAACAGTGCACCGATAATAGAGGAGCCCAGATAACCCGCGGGCAGAGTAATGGCGCTGATGCCGCCTTGCATGTGGGTCACGCCACCCTCATGGGGGTCGAGCGAGATCGACTTGACTTTACCACCTGTGCAACACGCTGTAATCGCATGCCCAAATTCATGAAAGGCGATGACCAGCATCTTGGTTCTTGTTAACTCCAGGCATCCACTTTTGGTTCGTGGTTTGGGGAGGAGTGTGATTTACCTTGAACGGCCACAGCGACCAGCGAACGTATGGTAGATTCCATAGCAGCGCGATCACAACCACATAGACGGCCATAATTCCCAGCGTGACCGCCTGGGTATGGTTCACTGTCAGACTGCGTTTAGCTAGATGCGGGGCCATTTCGACGGCCCGGCCAGTCAAACCCGCATACAGAGCCGGCATGTTGATGAGGAAATGAGCCCTAGGGGATGGCAAAGTTTGGGAGATGGGCGGATGAGTGGTCGATGCTGGTTTAATATTGTGGTTGGAACTTGTCCTCCTGCTGTACGCGCGGAATGGACGCGAATGCCAGTTGTTAGTGTGTGGCGCACTACCACAAAGGGCTTAGTGTGTGTGGCTGGCCACACTATTTTTAGCGTCGGAGGCGGGGGTTCGCCCACCCTGCCCAACACCCAGCCTGACTGTCCTTGGTTTGAACTGCGCACAGTCTTTCCAATCATGGCTACCAAAGAAATACTGTTCTGTCATGCCGTCTTTTGGCGGCTCGGTCGCGCAGGGCTTTTAGGCAGCTGGCCATCTGTTTTGATCCGTACCGAATCAAAGTTGATGTGCTACATGGAGTACCTACCCATGGGTCTATATATATCTACCCCTTAAACTTTCGTCCCGACCGTTAAACTTGCCCCGAAACCTGAACCTGAATATAATTCACAGGTATCGGCTTGAAGTTCAATCAAACGAATCTTGATAGACCATCACAGGCAGTTTGCTCAACTCTCAATGAGAGTTACCGGGCAGTCAGGCCGGTGAGGGTGTGCCGCGTCCATGGCTGGGCCGACATTCCTCCCCTGACCTTTCCCTGGCTTGCTCCAACCCCGCAAAACAACCACCAGGGATCCACACTCCAACGTTACACCCGATATACACCCCCACGCCTGCAAGCTTTGGGCCAGGGGTATTTCCTGGAAGCCTGTGCCTCGTCCGGCGGAGAATAAGAGGTTTGGCGAGATACGGAGATAACTTGGATCAACATTCACCGTTCCATCAGCCTCGTCTCTCTCCAGGACGCGACTCAGAGACCATCGCGACGGATTATATCCCCCTTTTCCGAATTGCATCGAAGATCCGATGAGATAGAGGTGATAATTATTTGGATCCATGGGGATGGCCATCATTCTGCCAGTGCTTCTTGCCCTCGCTGAGAGTGTCGTCACCCTCGCCGCAGGCCAGACGGGCAGCGATTGCAAGCGTGACAAACCCAGGTACCATGAAGACGCGGGGGTGCTCAAATATGTCAATCATCTCATTGGCACCTATGGCATGACGCCGAACGGGAACGGTGGCATGATCCCATCGGTCGCACCGCCGTTTGGTATGACTCGGTGGACACCACAGACGCGAGAGAACTTCATCTCGCAGGTCCCCTATGGAGACAGCGACCGCCTGATACATGGCTTTCAAGCCACACACCAGCCGGCGATTTGGATGGGTGAGGCAGGCCAGGTAGTGCTGACCCCCGGACTGGGAGAAGTGCAACCGCTCTTCCAGAACCGAGGACTCGCGTTCCGGAAGGAGGAAGAACATAGCACGGCCTATGTGTATGAGGTTCTTGTTGATGCGACACAGCTTGTGAACCGGAACTGGAATGCCACAGCAGAGGCAGTTGGAGATGGTCCAGTTCCAGGGGGGGCAGGTGCCGTGCCGGATAATGTGGAAGAAGGTATGGCACCATCTCCATATTTTCAGGGGAGGTTCGACCCGTAGAGGGAACTGATCACCACCAAGGTACAAATGGGAGATCGCGAAAACGTGAGATACAACCGGAGCCATTAAGCAGCGATGGCTCTGAAGGAGATGCCTACCAACGCTCTATCCAAGTAAAATCTGAAGGAATCTGAAGTCCGAACAAAATGATCCTAACAAACCCATATAGATCGCCCTCTCCGCCAATGCTCATGCAGGGCACCTCCGATTTGATTTCCAGCAATGTGGGGATATTCCTGATCACCAGCGCCTTCAGCCCTGGGTTTTCATCGAAGTTTCTCGACGAAATTGGACAGGCGATGTCCATGTCGACGTTGACAGCCGAGAAATATACGGCTACAACACTGAGCGACAGGATTACCTCCTTGGTCCCGACTATGCACCATCCTTCAAAGGATATTTTGTTTCCCGCTTCTCGGAGCCCTTTGAGGAAGTGGGAGTCACCAATGGAAACGACGTTGTCGACAATGCATACGAGCGACATGGGAATTTCACTGGGGCCTACGTCAAGTTTCAGAGGGGCGTACGCAGGGTCGAGGTACGGACTGGCGTTTCATACGTCAGTATTGAACAAGCGCGGACAAATTTGGCTCTTGAGATGCCCAATGACGCAACATTTGAGAGCACTGTCGCAAACGTGAAGCAGCAGTGGCTCGAGAAACTCGACCGCGTTACTATCGACGGAGTCAATGATACTGATTCGGATCATGATCCTCGCACCATCTGGTATACCGGCCTTTTTCACGCATTACAGTACCCCAGTGACTTTTCAGAACCATCTTTGAATGGCAAGGACATAACCCGTGTCTTTTACTCCGGGTACACGGACAGGGTACACACGGCAGATGACTCTTACTATCAGTCGTGGTCCCTCTGGGACACCTACCGGGCGGAGCATTCTCTTCTTACACTTTTCGCGCCAGAACGGGTGAATGGTATGATGCGTACCTTGCTTCGCATTTTCGACTGGTCTGGGTGGTTACCCATGTGGGCGAATCTGATCGAAACAAACATCATGATTGCTACAAATGCGGATGTAGTGCTCGCCAACGCACTCGAACGTGGGTTCCGTGGCTTCGACCTAGCAAAAGCCTGGGCTGCAGTTAAGAAGGATGCGTATACACCGCCGGATCATGACACAGAGCTTCTTTACTATGACCGCGAGCCACGCACTCCTTACGAAGCTCGTGCGGGGCTCACCGCTTATATCAAGCAAGGATGGGTGCCCAACGATGGTTGGTCCGAGTCGGCGAGTCGTACCTTGGACTATGCGTTTAATGACTATGCCTGCTCTGTGGTTGCGGGCCACGCTGGAGCTGATATGAATATCATCACGGCGCTCCAGGGCCGAAGTCGAAACTACGTCAACCTTTGGAACAATGACACTCAGTTTATGCAGGCCCGCAATGCGAACGGCACATGGGCCAACAATACCTGGGGCTGGACAGAGGGCGATGACTGGGTCTATACCTTTGACGTGATGCATGATGTCAAGGGGTTGGCTAAACTCTTTGGTGGTCGGGAGTCTATGCGTCATAAGCTAGATGCACATTTCCAAGGCGGGCACAATGAACATAGCAATGAGCCGAGCCATCATGTTCCTTATCTCTACTCTGTGCTTGGCTTTTCATCCCAAGCCGCGGAGGAAATCCGGAAGATTGCCTGGAGCAACTACAACACCACTAGTGGTGGACTAAGTGGCAATGAGGATCTTGGGCAAATGAGCGCATGGTACGTTTTTTCCGCTCTCGGATTCTATCCCGTCAACCCAGCAAGTGACGAATACATTGTGGGCACACCGTTTTTCGAGAAAGTATCCATCCGCCTCCCCGGCAGGGCGGCGACGGGAGGTGCCATGGCCAACCAGCCAGAAAAGGTTCTTGTCATCAGTGCCCCAGGGGCACCGGCCAAACCGTATATCAAAAACTTAAAAGTGGACGGGAAAGATATATCTCGGCCCATTTTGCGGCATGGTGATATTGTTCATGCGACAAATATCGAATTTGAGATGAGCGATGTTCCTACATCATGGGGTACAAACCCTCTATGGTAGAGCATTGGCCCAATCATTTTATTCAAGCTGTGGCTTTCAGTGTCTGCACCTGCATCAAGACTTTTTTCATCTCAATACCTCTGCTGGAAAGCCTTCCCGTATTTATACTCATTATGCCCAGCCGAAGAATCTCAGCTGTCTCCTATATATTTTACCAGCCAGGAAGAGTTCGTTGGTGAATGATTCGAAGGCCTCGTTAATTGTGGAGAGAGTAATGCACTCTCTCTTCAGTCTTGATTACAGGGGCCCGGTCTTTGATGTATCCTGTGTATACCATGAAAGAGGCCCTCGCAGATGAGTGCCCATTCCGAGAAAAGGCACCATCGAGCTAAGCCTAAGTAATCCCGGGCGACCGCTAGTGTGCTTGCCATTGTAACTCTTAAGACGTGATGGTCATGGGAATCTCTCCAACTCCACATTGCTCTAGTAGCAGGCATTAATTTTCCTTCAGTATTGCGGGGGTTTATCAGTCTGAGGGTTTTCAGGGCGCCACTGACTCCTGCTAAGACGGCGCCGGCTCGAGGGGACTTTGAATTCCGACGAGGAGGCGGGCCGAGTATTGGACCTACGAGAAGGCCCATCAGATCTTTTCGCTCTCAGCACATCTCGCGAATAAACAGATGCCGAAAGTAACCCTTCTTCACCATGCGCAGCAACCCCACACCAGGCAGCATCTCCCCTGCCCCAAGTGACGAACTCCCCAGCCGAGAATCTGGGGACCGGAAATTCGTTTCACAGGAACGGTCGGCAGCTCTCCGAACGGAGACGTCGACACGAGCCGAGTGGGCGACAATTGTGGGGCGAATAGCGCCACCTGCGTTGCTAAGCAGCCAACTGATATCATCCAGGGGCCGATCGTCATCAGACGCAGAGACCGTCGAACCGATCGGGTCTTCAGTGTAAACTGTGAAGGATGGTGGTTGCATGCTTCTTCTCTTCGCGGCAGAGGTTCCTGACTATGAAGCTACTTGTGGACCAACTATTCCCCGCGACCGTACGGGTCTGCGGCCGACTCCACGGGCAGTGAAATGGCTCTTTAAAAGGAAAGTGAATCGCCGCTTTCTGTCTGATGGCTTTTCTCTGCCATCGAACTGTCACCTCGCGCCCGAACCACCCAATCGCGCGTGCCATGTTGGGACCAAAGGCGTGGATCTGGGCGGCAATCGCTGCGTCGTCTGTCCCAGCATCTCTTGCTGCTCAAGCCCCCTTGAATCTTGGGAGTGGCTTCACCCTCGCGGTAGATGAGAGCACCAACCATCTCGCGGTAACTCGCGATGAGCAGATCATCTGGGAAACCATTCCCAACCAACCCTTCCTCAGTGCTAGTGCGGGTTCCGATCAAGTCATTGACTCCAGCGGCAACTTCAAGATTACCGAGGTTGATCGGAGCAAATGCACGGGTCAGCGCATCACTCGCGCGTCGCAGAAGACGTGGCAGGGCAGCGCGAACAACCAAGCAGCCGTGATTCAGGGCGTTCTCTCCGGCTGTGGGGATGGGTCGGCCGCCTTCTCGCTTGCGTTTTGGGCGCCTGCCGAGTTTTCAGACCGCATCGCATTTCACATTGACGTGAATCCGGACTCGTCCACTGACCCTGCCACCAAGCTGTTCTTGACCTATCTTTCGTCGCCATCGGAAGACTTCTACGGTTTGGGCGCCCAGGCGTCTTTCGCGTCATTGAAGAATCAATCGGTCCCTATCTTTTCGCGGGAACAAGGAGTTGGCCGTGGGGACCAGCCGACCACAGACCTCGAGAGTGAAAATAGCTTCTTCGCTGGTGGCTATCAATTCACCACCTATTCTGCAGTGCCGCAATATATCTCTTCCGATGCACGCGTGTTCCACCTCGCGGAGGAGAGCACTGTCTACACCAACTTCGATTTCCGTGATCTCGATGCCGTGACCGTGCGATATGCCGCAGTGAACGTTGACGGATATTTCATGCAGGCAAGCAGTATGCTGAATGGCATTACAATGCTCACGGAGTACACTGGCAGGATGGCCGAACTCCCGACTTGGGTAGATACCGGCGCCGTCCTCGGAATCTAGGGTGGCCAGGCTAAGGTCAATGGAATTGTCGAGCAGGGACTCCGACAAGAGTGCCCTATCGCTGCCGTGTGGCTTCAAGACTGGTAAGAGGGTCCTCGCGATCTTTTGGGGAATTTCATTCACTGACTTCTATTAGGTCTGGCACTCACACCCAGAGCGTGTCATATATGACTCTCAATATCTCGCGTTTGTGGTGGAACTGGGAGTATGATTCAGAGCTCTACCCGACTTGGCCCGAGTTTGTGCAAAATCTGCGCAACGAGTATAATGTTCGCACGTTGTCTTATATCAACCCGTTCCTGGCAAATGTGAGCACCAAGCCGGATGGCTACCGGCGTGATCTCTACTTGGAGGCCACCAACGGTGGCTACATGATTCAAAACTCGACAATGAACAGCACATCGATTATTTCCAGTGGACCGGGAATCGAAGCAGGAATTATTGATCTAACTAATCCAGCCGCCCGCTCTTGGTTCACGGATGTTCTCCTTGAACAGGTCTGGAGCGCGAATGTGTCGGGTTATATGGGTGACTTCGGCGAATACACCCCAGTGCTCCCGGACACCCGCTTCGCCAACCGCAGCGTGGATCCGTTGTTTTACCACAATGAATTCCCTCGGGACTGGGCTAAGCTGCACCACTCCCTTACCAAAAGCGTGTCGAGTTTCTCAGACGCCATTATCTTCCATCGCTCATCCTCGCTGGCAGCCAACGGCTACATGAATCTCTACTGGGTTGGTGACCAGAACACTGACTGGGTTGTGAACGATGGCATCAAGGCGGCCGTGACGGTTTTGGGCCACATGGGACTGTCGGGATACGCGTATGGGCATGCGGAGATCGGCGGTTATACAACAACATGGAACGCCAGTGGAATTGTGAATCGCACGACAGAGTTGCTAGGCCGCTGGGGAGAGCTCGCTGCTGTGTCTAGTGTCGTCTTCCGCTCGCATGAGGGCAATGTACCTCAACGCCCGGCTCTACACCAATTCGTCCACATATGCGTATCACGCCTATAACGCACGAATGTATGCTAGTCTGGCAACCTATCGACGTAAAATTTTGGACACGGAAAGCAAAAATTTGGGCTGGCCCTTGATCAGCATGCCAGTTATCTACTATCCAGATGACTTGAAGGCCAAGAACATCAGCTACGAGAGCTTTTTCCTTGGATCTGACTTAAATGTCGCACCTGTTCTTGATCCAGGCCGGAAGAGCGTCAAGGTCTATCTGCCTGGGCCAAATGAGTCATATACTCACGTTTGGACAGGACGGAGATACCAAGGTGGTCAGACAATCAAGGTGTCTGCCCCCTACGGCAAGCCCGTAGTTTTTGTTGTGGGACAGCCAAAGCACGATCATCTCCAGGGATTTCTTGAATTCGTTCGGAAAGAGAATGGCACCGCTATTCATGTCTAAGCAAAGAACAGAGCGGTCAAGGTGGTGATGATACGTGAATGTGAGTGAATATCGCGGGATGTCTCAAGAATGCCATCCGGGGTATCTTGTTCGTTCCTAATAATTTTGACGACCGCCGCTAGCTTTTTAGTGATGAAGCCAGCGTTTACGAATTCAAAATGTCCGATAGTTTTTTTTTTTTTTTTGGCAAGCTTTGATTTTCTGTAGGCAAAATGCCGATGGAGACTGGACGTGTCGCGTTCTTTTGTTCCACCCCCCTCCCGAACCGTACCATGAAGATCTGTATGGATAACTTGTCGAAATGGAAATGACCGTATAGACTAAGAATTAAACTTTGTAGTTATTTGATGACATTTAAAAGTATCTACAGCCCCCATACAACTGTAGATGTCTGCGTCCTTCTTCACCCAGTACCTTAAGACTTCCTGCCTCGGATAGGCGCGGTAAATTAACCCGAAGCAGGGGTCGAATTATAAATCAGACACAAAGAGCAGGTTTAGTTAGTACCTTTGATAGGGTCTTTTTCGGCTCCCTCGATTTGTTTCAAAAAAGCCTCAGCAGCGTCCGGGTCAGAGGCAAAAATATGCTCTGCAACCATGCGTCGCGGTGTCTCTCCCAACCACTGAAACAGCGAGAAATCTTGGAACTTATCCGCTCGGAACAGTTCAAGCACTTCAAGTGGCTCATCGTCACTCAGATTTTCAATGAAATGGCCCATATTGCGGGGGACAATGCCAACATCGCCGGCCATGTAGTCAAAAGTCCGAGCATTCCCTTCTGCGGCAAAAATCGTAACTCGAGCGCGCCCTCTCTTGAAGTAGGTCCACTCATCTGCATTGGGGTGCCAATGCATCTCCCGAAGCGCGCCGGGATCGATTTCTAGGTGGGCTGCAGCCACCGTTTTCGAGACTGGGAAATTGGTCGAGTCCGTAATTCGCACCCGACCACCAGTCGTGCGAATCGGGTCCTGTGCGTGCATGTGATGGGTGAAGCAGATATTGGATTTTCGAAAGCCACGAGGCTTCTCTTTGTCGATACTGTCTGGGATGGATCCCTTGAAAATGTATTTTTCCGACGGGGGGATCGACTTAAATGCATCGGGGGCCAGGCGAAAGTTTTCTGCTAACACCGCCTTGGATGTATGTGCTAGTGGAGATGGTCAATCGCAAGACCAAACCGTAGGGGGGCCTCTTTCATGAACGACTCGACTCACCCATCCAATCCGTTAGCAAGAATGTGGACTCCTCCGAGAAATGGCCATCGTCGAATATTAGTAGGAACTCGGTGCCATTGGGACTGAGTCCTTGCAGAGAATGCGGATGGCCCGCCGGGAAGTACCACAAATCTCCAGCCTCGAGGTCATCCATGAAGCTGCCGCCATCCGGGTCCAGCGCAGTGACCTACCACAACATGTCATTCACTCTTCAAACAATTGCTCACCAGGACCAAGCGGCCGGAATGTCGATGACCGAGCGAACTTACCCGAACATTCCCTGCGAGTACATACGCCCACTCGGCCTCGGTATGCCAGTGCAGTTCTCGGATCACCCCTTCATCCAAGCGCATGTTGACACCTGCTAGCTCACGGCTCGTGGGCAACTCACGGATCGTCGTCTGGCGCGTCCACCCGCCCTCCTGGAAGCTGATCAGCAGACAGGTCCCAAGAACCTCCGGGGTCTGTGACCGGCCAGGCACCCTACCTCAATGCGTATATGCGAGTCGGCGAAGCTCCACCGCATGTTGGACATGCTGCCATGGTCGGTGCTCGGAGGACGAACGAGATCGGGGTTCTGACGCTCGCGGTCTTTGTTTCGCGGGCCCTGGACAGTCGCCCCGTCGCCGTTGCGGAACGGTAAGGGTTCTCGGCCGTCCCCGACCGAATCGACCTTATGGTCAAACGGGTCGCGATGCCCGGGGCTAAAGGGGGGACTACCAAACATCTCTTGGCGATTACTCGGAGGGACCCGCAGCAATTGCTGCAGTGCATGATCGGGGGCCGGGATGGCCGAGACGCCAAACAGCAACCCCAGGGGAATCAGAGCCACGAATGGCGTGGATAGAACGTGCATGGTGGCAGCGGACGATTCTCAGGGTCACGCAAGATCGATCACACATGAGACTTGATCGCTGTCTCGAAGATCGCACCTGAATTCCAGCATTCCACGGCTGCGGCGTCGGGGCCGCGCTTTTGAATCGTAACCTTCCCCACTTTCCCCCCACTTCAGGGCGTCTGGAGCCTAGCTTTTCTCCGTACTTGGTGGGTCCATGACGCACAGCAATCGTAGTGAGAGGGGCTCGGCGGACCTTGGCGGAAAAAGAAAGCAGGATCAAATTGTAAGGAAAGTTGGAGATGAGGACAGTAACTTAAATCGAAGGGGGATGGATGACTTCTCCGCACGAAGTCCCGTGCAGCCCCGTGCGAGCTCGTCTCATGGCGGTGTACGCCGTCCGACGAGTAGGGCCTTCTTTTTCTTCCTCTTCTTCATGCACTCTGGCTAAGACATTTGCTAGTGTCCCACGCTTTCTCAACAGCCAGACACAACACCACGCTACGACAGTAGCTTTCTGAGCCGCAACCGGTGGCCACCAGTGGCGTCCCATCCCTGCCGAAATGCCTGGCGAGAATGAGCCGTTGTTAGGCCACGAGCATTCAAGCCCACCTCGGCCGCGTCGAATATTGCACTATTTTCGCACTGAGCTCGATCCGCGGCGCGGAGATTTGCTGTTGCTCTTCTGCTATGTCATCACGGGTCTGCTTGATAGCTCCGCGGTGTTTATCTGGGGCTCCTTTGTGAGCATGCAAACCGGCAACACGGTCTATTTTGGCCTTGGCCTGGTGGGAACCGACGATGATCGATGGATCAAATCGGGGGTCTCGATCGCCGGCTTTTGCCTGGGATCGCTTTGCTTTGCAGCCTTCCATCGTACCTTCTTGCCTCGTCAACGCTGGGTCCTCTGTGCCTCATTTCTCGTCCAATGGGCCTGCATCATCGCGGCGGCCATCGTAGTAACCGTGTATCGGCCGGCCCGTGATGCACCCTTGAGCTGGCTTGTGCTGGTTCCCATCGCGCTACTCGCATTCCAGAGCAGCGGCCAGGCTGTGTCCAGTCGTGTACTCAAGTATAACGGTTTGACTAGTGTGGTCCTCACCAGTGTCTACTGTGACTTGTTCTCCCACCCCGATCTACTTTCGCCTAAAGTCGTTGGCAGTGCCGAGGAGATGCGTCGCGTGGGAGCCGTGATTTGTCTCTTATTTGGAACCATTTTGGGAGGGCTTTGGGCACATAGCTCAGTTGGGCTGATGGGCGCCTTATGGACCGCAGCATTGTTAAAAGCGGCCATTTTGTTCGCTTGGCTGGTCTGGAAAGCCGATGAGCCAGCCTCAGAAGAGTTCTGATGTTGTGGGCAGCTCAGACTGGGAGCGTTTGATACGCCCGATGGCCGAGAAAACCCTTGGTCATCAAATATCATCCGTTTTTCAAGAAAATCTATATGAGATCTCTAATATGCCAATCTATAACGCTTGGTGATCTAGCAACTGCAACTACAGGCGAACGTGGGAGGTAATGAGTGCGAATGACCGTGCCGTATCACGCAAACAGAAAAGGACACACGGTGCTCGATGAATGCTAGGAGGGAATTTCCCCATCCAAGGCCGAGGGCACTGTTCATCGATGGTTCTGCGAGAGGTAGAACAGCGCCGACCAAGATCGCACAGCGGTACTAGCCACGCTCTAGTATGCGTCAGTTTCCGGGGAAACTTCTCCAGCTGCGCATACAGGGCTTGAACATACCACAGAAGCTGCATGGATCAGATTAGAGTCCCCCATGTAAGTGTTAGCCGACATGAAGCTCATGATCACCTTGACCCCGAAGGCCCTGGTTCCAAGGATGGGCACAATCCAGTGGGTATGGGCCTGTGCGGGCCAGCCGTACCAAATTAAGCCGAGCGGAATCGCCCAATATCCATCCATCATAGGCGGCAATCGGGATTCGGAGGTGATGCAGCCCCCGAGCCGAGTCAGGGACTGCAATGTGGTTGGCAACACGGCCACAAACAATCCGACTAAGCACGCAGCCAACGCCAAACCCAATGCGATATGAGCCCAGGGGAAACCCCCAATTTCTCTTTGAATACTGACGTACTCTTTATGAACATCAGATAGAGATAAACATAGGCAACGGCTCCAATTGGCTATTAAGCTCTGTTGGAGATGATCCTTGGTCCCACGACCGCAGCCTTATCAGTTTGCTCATTTTTTTCAACAATGAGAAAGAAGAAAAATTGTTTCACACGCCCGTATTTGCTGAAGGACGGTCCTGTATCGGCTCCGCATGCGCCTCGAACCTGGACTCGCGCATGAACGGACTGCGTCGCCGGATGTCCGGTCCATTGAGGACTAGTACCACAGGCACGACCGAGAGAGCGACTCCCACAAAACCAAGTAATGAGCCAGCCCATCCATATCCCAGTGTGTCAAACAGTTCAAAGGAAGCCAATGGGAGAAATGCTCCGAACGAACTGCGGCCTAGTGAAGCGGCTGACAGGGCTGATGCGGCGTATTTCTCGTAGGCATCCGTCAAATAATTCACCACGGCCATGTAGATGGAATAAATCCCCACACCCGTACACGCTACGCCCAGCGTGGGCACTATCCAGTGAATGGAACCGTTGCCAACACTCCCCACCCATACCAGAATAAACCGCCAGCAAAGAGCAGACTCCCTGGGATAGAGGTATACAGGCGAGCCTCCGGAATCGGAAGACCAGGATTCTCTTGATTTTTGCGGGCAGAGCGTAGGTAGATCCGGTCTTGAATTGGGTTGACAGCGGTGCAGATGACCGCCTCTTTGGAGATCGCGAGTTGTACAAGACCAGTGGTGAAGGTGCCCCAGCCATAATTATGACGAAACGTCTGTCCCACGCTGGAGAAGAACGAAAAGAGGATTCCCCAAGCAAAGCTCACCCAGAGCGTGAAAAAAGTAACGACGGGCTCGGTCAATAGCATTCGAGTAGGCCGCTCAGAAGGACACCTGGAATAACTTCCACATGCTCCTCGTGTCTAAATCGCTCTCGGCATATATGGAATGACCAGTTTCATGATGAAGCTTTTGAGCTCGCTTTTTCAAAATGACATTCCCTCGTGTTTCACGTAGAATCATGTAAAACACTGGAATGAGCGCAACATTATAGATGATCCGAATATAGAAAATCCTATGGTCGATTAGTCTCGCTCAGTTCCGTGCAGGGAAACTCTCTCCGGGCTTACCATCTCCACGGATTGCTCTTATGAATTTGTTGGATGGCAGACCCAACAAATGGACCGAGGGCGATTCCCACAACACTGGTAAACCCGAACAGAGACATGGGCACACTGCGGGCCTGATCACCATACCAGACATCGCTGATACTGCCTCCCACAATATTGACCGACACCGACGATGCCCCGCCGCCAAAAAAGCGGGTAACCACCAGCATGGCAAAGTTTTGGGAAAATGCGGACGGGAAGAGGGAGACAACCAGGATAAAATAGGTAGGAGACAAAATAGCCAGGCATACGACCCGAAGATTCCGTCAATGGTACAAAGATGAGCGGCCAAAATGCTGCTCCCACGTTCCAAGAAGATGTTTCCCACGGACATGAAACAAACCGTGAGCGTTAGCACCCATTTATACGTCTTGCTCCAATTGAATCTATCGGAGTCAACATTCTATTCTCTACAATCTCGTTTCCTCTGGGGAAGGGGACTCGGGTCTCAGGTTACACGGGGTTGGCGAGGTCATCGGGGCCATCCCACGTATGAATCTCGACGTGTTCCTTATCGCGTAGAGGGTCGCGGCCGACATCTCCGATGTGAGCATCACGGCTGAAAAATGACCGAACCCTATTTTACGGCGGCACTAGGGATTGGGATCACACAGGGCAGCGCCAAGGGTCAATATCATGCCCATACCTAGATAGGAATCTGTCGTCAAATCCATTGTGATGAAGGTTGCTAGTGGTTTTCACGGTCGACGATCGGTTTATAGGCTTCATTTGACGCTCCTCCGAAGGTTGGGACCGAGGGGCTCCCTGGGCAATAAAGCCTTCCATGATGACGAAGCACAATTTGTGAATAGCATTGCGATAGCATCTCCTCCCTTGCAGGTTTATATCTGCACGGCCCACGGAGGTGGGACAATCCGCTTACACACCGCGCGCATCCTTCCATAGATCATGTCGCAAGTTTGGAATATTATACTAAGGTCCGACGGTATTCGCTGGTTTCTTTTCCGCAGGGGCTAGCAAATGGGTTTCTTCGCGAACGCGCCGACCAGCTCTCGGCACGATGAGTTCTAAGTCTGGTGGTCGCGCAAGTCATGACATCACCGCTCCGCAACCATCCGTCTTGTCGCAGTGTTCCATGCCACTCGGTCTGGACAGGACTTTCGTCGCAACCTCGAAGTGAGGGGCACAAATCCGGCCTGGGCGCATGAGGTCCTCGGGGGAGCAGCGTATCAGATGCGCGCGAACGCGGACGGCTCCACAATTAGGTCATGGCCGAGCCCCAAAGAGGCAAAAGCGAGGGGCCGAGTTGCCTCAAGTACACCATGCAGTCATCAACAGCCAAGCTGGATTTTTGGATTTCCCATTGGTCCTTTCCATTGTTCTATTCTTAATTGCTCAGTCTTATCTACTTCCCCTCCTCCTGTTTTCCCCCTCATTCTTCTCACTCTTCATTCTCACATCTCACTGCTCATCTCCCCATTTCCCACCTCCCACCCTCCTTCATCTTGCAATTTCCACCAGCAGAAACCTTTCTCTACCCAGTCAATATGCCGATCCCAGTGCCCCAATCCGACAGTCTAAAGGACCTCTTCAGCCTCAAGGGCAAGGTCGTCGTCGTCACAGGTGCTTCGGGCCCCCGCGGAATGGGTATCGAGGCCGCTCGTGGCTGCGCCGAGATGGGTGCCGACCTCGCCATCACCTACGCCTCGCGAGCGGCAGGCGGCGAGAAGAATGCCAAGGAGCTGCAGGAGCAGTACGGCGTCAAGGTGAAGGCCTACAAGTGTGATGTTGGCAGTTGGGACAGCGTCCAGGAACTGGTCAACACCGTCATCAAGGAATTCGGCAAGATCGACGCCTTCATCGCCAATGCTGGCCGCACAGCAAGCAGCGGGGTTCTCGACGGCTCGGTGCAAGACTGGGAGGAGGTGATTCAAACTGATTTGACGGGCACCTTCCACTGCGCAAAGGCTGTGGGCGCGCACTTCAAGCAGCGCGGCACGGGCAGCTTCGTCATCACCTCCTCCATGTCGGGTCACATCGCCAACTTCCCCCAGGAGCAAACCTCCTACAACGTTGCCAAGGCCGGCTGTATCCACATGGCGCGGTCGTTGGCCAACGAATGGCGGGACTTTGCTCGTGTGAACAGCATCTCGCCGGGCTACATTGACACCGGCCTGTCGGACTTTGTCGACCAAAAGATCCAAGACCTGTGGCTCTCCATGATTCCCATGGGCCGCAATGGCCAGGCGAAGGAATTGAAGGGGGCTTATGTCTATCTGGTGAGCGATGCCAGCACCTACATGACCGGCAATGATTTGCGCATCGATGGCGGATACTGCGTGCGGTAAATGGACCCTGTACATAATGATTCAATCTCCGGTTTCTTGGAGTTGGCAGCGTGATCGCCAATCAGCTCTGGTGGAGACATGACCTCATGCTTAGTTGCAGTTTCTTACTAGTGGGGCCCCCTCACAGTCCCCTCCAGTCCCCTCGCGTGTCGGCGGATTCACCCACGATGGAAATTGAAAGAGACTCTCAAGGGGAGATCAACACTATCCCGGTGCTCTCACCACTACCTTGCCCTGCCTCCATCCTGGTCCTTGTAGCATATGGGTAGTTTCTGTGTTTCTGTGTTCTGTGCACCAGCGGTGACGTCGGCCACCCGTGAACCCTCCCAATCATTCCATCATCCCGACTGGCTCGCAAACGACCCCGCAATCGGGGTCCTGATTGGCGCATTCTCCACAAAGATGCCCCTCCGCGTGGGAGTCGGTCCCGCCATTGTCCAGGCACAGTTGACCGACATGCCAATCGGCAGAGTTGGTCGAGGTTGATGTGCTAACGCCCGTGACAACTGCGGCTAATAGGTCCGACTCGTTGGATGCCTATAGCTCGACCGTCTGCACGTCAAAATCGATATCGTAGGCCAAGTTGTACCAGGTCCCGGCTTCAAGTTGCGCGATCCATTCAGTCGTCCCGCTCACACACTAACGAAGTGTGTTGTCCTCGCTGGCTAAGTCGCCGCTCAGCAAACCGTATTGTAGCTCTGTAAAGTGGCTCTCTTCGTAGCATATCAGCGTCGACCCTATCGCAAACACGGAGCGTGTGGCATTTCACCTCGATGAATGCCATCTGGGGTTCAAACCGAGGGTTTGGCGCATTGGTGGTGTGGTCAACGAGAAGTGGTAGAAGAGGCGCTCGCGACCCAAACCCTCCGAGGCCCGAGGGATGAGCTCGCTTCGCTCCATAGCTGGACCATTTCACAAGGACGTCCCGTCCTAGCATGAGTGAGTGCATGCCTCCCTGTCGCAAATCACCCTTTACTTACAATGGTGATTCGGGTCCCTTGAGCATCGCTGGTATCTGCTGGATTCTCAAAATGAGAGGAGAGCGCAAGGTGTTGATCGGTGGATCCAGTACCGTGAATGTACCACTGCCAGGGCGCAATTTCCTTGGACCAGGACCCTACGCCCGAAGAGAGTCAGTATAATGGTCAAAGAAAAACAGTCAATCAACGCACATTGGTCAAAATCTTCTACCGCGAAAGTAGCATTAAATATGCCACTCCGCAGAACAGCACCGCATACCGCCGCGATTGGGAGGGACATCATTCACAAGTCGCGGCAAATCATATCTGTACACTGTATCGCACACAGCATTATTGCTCATCCAGATGAGGGCCTACGGCCATGAAAGGGGCCGCCGACGGACTTGCACGGGAATGATCACCAGCAAGGGTCTTGGTCCTCCAGTCCCTCACCTTCGCTCGGTCATTTTTCATCCTTGCGTGCTCTGTAAATCCACACTCCGGATCCTTCAAGAAGAAGGATGAGGGTGAGCATTGCTGCGGGGAAGAAGAGAACCTTGCAATTCCTACACTGCTAGCGCTCTTGAAGGTGAAGTTACACTGTGTTTAAACATTCTTGCCATTTTGGTTAGACTTGCTGGGAACGTCCTTTTGGCAAGACTTACCGCCACTCAGATGGTGTGACGACCAAGCGCTGCGGGGACATTTGTTCAATTTACAGTTGATTCCGTACCCACATCCACATACCGGGGAGTCTGAAAATGTTGCCAATGAGACTAGTGCCGGTATAGGTCAGGAATAACGACGTAGCGTCACAAATCCGTGAAATCTACGTAGGAGGAACGTCCAGCTCCGTCGAATACGGAGAAACTGCATAGATATGCTTGTCATTCTTTCGAATTTCAAAGGAGGAGGTCCGGTGAATACTCTGCACTGATTTTGATATTTAGTGGACACCGGAGTGAACCAGGGGTAACAGTGTAAGGACTCATTGTCTATGTAGCGCCACCTGCTTTCAACAAATATCAACATTAGATACGCCTCGGACCTACTATCTACAGAAGTAATCTGTCCAGGTGAGGCCCTGTAAAGCCATCGCTGATGAATATCTGACCATGTTATTATTCGCTCTCATAGGCCAAGTGCAAAATGTGAGCACCTCATTTGGCTCAAGAAGCAAGAGCAAATTCCTTTTCCCCCATCTAGCTGTGAGAGTTATCGTCCCGTGGCCGTGGAGTTGTGATTCCAATTCGGGCACTGACTGCGGCGCTAGGAGCATTGTTAAAAACACACCCCCGAGCGTTAAAACCCCCCCCCCCCCCCCTATATTTAGTTTAGCGTAGTATGTGTAATACCCCTTCGAAAAAGCGGTGAGGAAGAAGCGGTGAGCTCCTTTAGGAAAATAGGGCTTAGTAGTTAGGGTCTACGGTCTATGCGGGAATAGCTTTATGTAGCTATCTTAGCTATCTTTTTTTCCTACCTATCTGCCTCTGCTACGCTATGAATATAGGCGTTTTAGTCGATTTCTTTAATACCCCTAGTCTCTCTCGCCTATTTAACCCTAGTCTTACCTACCTACGGCTAATATTAAAATTTTGGTGAATTTATAAAGATACCCTCTCTTGTAGTACGTTTTAGTAAGTAAAATAGCTATATCTTCCGTCCTTTTTAATTCTAACCTCGAGGATAACTTTGAATCCTCTAGTTTCCTATAGACAGAGCCTAATTCTATCGCTAATCTCGCTTATCCCTTTAAAACCTCCGCTAAGTCTATCGCTGTGAAGGATTACGTATTGGTCTGATATGGGGAAGCGTTGATATTAAAAGTGGTTATGTCATTCTTTATCATCACTCCGTATCGTTATTCCCTAATAAAAGAGAGTGTCCCGTTTCCTTTCAATCTGAATCGGCAAGATTCAGTCTTTGAAAAGAAGAACGGCTGAACTGTATCACAATTGTTTCATTATCTATTCGCCATCGATTCTTTACCTGATCGACAGGCCTTCTACCCTGACAAGTAGTAAAATCGTTACAACTCTAGTATAAAAGTCCTATATCTTTTCTATATTCCTCTAATTCCTTAAGAATTAGTCTTTATTTTAATCTAACTATACTAGTTCCTTTTTACCTAATCGATAAGCTCTCTACCCTATAAGTAGACCCTATAATAATTCTAATTCTTCTTTTTCGATTATCTAAAGAATTATAGTACTAAGAAACCGCTCTAGTATTACTACTAATATTAAACCGAACTTTTTAGTACTTACTAATAACTTACTAAGTCCTATCCTAGAAGAAATCTTTTCGACTATAGATACTAAGCTAGATATAAATATCTAAGCTATCTAAAAAAGGATCTAAAAGCTAGAAAAACTAAAAAGCCTATAAGATAAAATAACTACCCTCGAAGCTAAGCTTAATCTAAGAAATATATCTAAATCCTAATTATATTATTACTAATATACTTATTTATCCTTTAAGGAAGATAAGCCTAAAATTAAGTTTAAGAATATCCTAATCTTTAAACTTAACTATATCCTTTAGAAATAATAAGAGTAGCTCCTAGACCTCCGATAATCTTTTAAAAAGGCCCTAAAGAAATATAAAACTAATAGAAAAAAGATTATCTACTTAGTTAATTATATAGAAATAGTCTATCGGTAGAGATAGTATAGATATATAGAGAAAAAACTACTAAATACTAACTGGGACCCTAAAAAAGACTAGCCTTATTTTAAAGTATAGACCTTAATCTTTATTTAGAATATTACTAGCCTTAAGATAGAAATTGTAACGATTTTACTACTTGTCAGGGTAGAAGGCCTGTCGATTAGGTAAAGAATCGATGGCGAATAGATAATGAAACAATTATGATACAGTTCAGCCGTTCTTCTTTTCAAAGACTGAATCTTACCGATTCAGATTGAAAGGAAACGGGACACTCTCTTTTATTAGGGAATAACGATACCGAGTGATGATAAAGAATGATATAACCACTTTTAATATTAACGCTTCCCTATATTAGACTAATACGTAATCCTTTATAATTTATTCCCCCTCTAATAGTAGCTATCCTTAGCTATAATAGAGAAATAGGGATGTTTCACTTCTGATTTGTATAAGTAATAGACTTATAATGATAGTATTAGTTATAAAATCTATTTTACTTTTATAATTCCGTAGGCTAAAGTTCCTGCTACTGATCCTTAATTAAATTAGCTAGGAACCGTAGCCCCGGGGTAGAGAGAAGTAAGAAAGAGAAGGAAAAGAATATAGCTAAGGCTATTTATAGTTTTTCTTTTTAGAGTCGTTATCCTTTTAAGACCGTTTTATTATAATAGGGATAATTGGTAGCGAGAGGTATATTAATAGAGAATTTTAGTTGATTTAGGTGTATTTTATGTCCGAAAGTGGATATAAGTAAAAGGTACCTAAGGTTAATTAGTGTTAATATTAATTCTTTTATTATCGAGTTCTATTAGGTTTCCTATTTTCGATTAATAAGAGAAGGCGAGTAATTACTAGGAATCTAGGGGTATTTCGATATTTTCTTTTATTAGAAAATAAGGGTTTTAGCGTACTTTTACGCGACGGGAGTTTCTAATTAGGCCGGAAGTTTCTATTCTAGTTATAGTTCGTTATTATTTATAATTTTTTAAATTATATATATATAATAGACCGGTAGTAATTTACCGATAAATTAGATATATTTCTAGTTCGTATAATAAAGAATTCTATGAACTAGTATACGTCTCCGATAATATAGGTTTTATAGGTAACGATGCGATTTATCTCTTTTCGGCCGTTTTATCTTTTCTCGGCGTTAATTATAAAATCTTTAGGTTTTTCCTTCTAGCGAAATTTTCTTCTTCGCTCGTTAATACCCCTCTCTAATTACTATCTTTCTATAGTAGTTAGTTACCTTTCTACTCTCTTTCTATTAATCTTTCTATACCTTTTTAGCTAAGATACCTAAAAAGGCTACGGCTAGTCTAAAACTACGCACTACTAAGGTAGTTTTACCTATATTATTATAGTATATAGGTTGTTTCCGTATTATTTTTATATAGTAGGACGGTACTAAACCCTTAGTAGTTTAGTGCCGAATAATCTATCCTACTTCGAAGTCTTACGAGTACTATTATAAGAATTATAGAATCTATAAGGTAGTATAGAATCTCCTATATATCTCTATTAATTAGATTTTGCTAATTATATAAAGATCCTAGGTAGTATAACTAGAGACCGACTGGATTTTGCTAGGCTTCTCGAGTTTATTAAGGAGTTTTAGGCCTCTTATTAAGATAGTATTATTATTAATACTCCCCCGAATCACGATCCCTTGATAGGTACCTATCCGTTAGTATTTCTGAGGTATATTATTTAGGCTATATAATACCTTTATAATAGCTTTAATACCCTAGTTTCTGCGTATCGGCGCGAATATAAATTTAAAAGCTAAAAGGTAGCTAATAATATATATAATTATCTTCTTTTCTATAAGGTTTCTCTAATAATTTAATAGAAAACCTTAGTTAATTATAACTAGTACTTGATTTCCTGATAGATTACTATTTTTCCGTTAGCTCGCCCTTTTATAGGCGCTTCTTAAAAGGATATCGAGGCCTATAAGAATTCGATTTACCGCCGAATCGGCCCCGTAGACGATAGATATAGTATATAGGTAGCTTATAAGAAGATATTCTTTAACGACGTTCGTAACGCCGTTAAGGATTATCTTCCGTAGGAGCTACCTATTAGCTAGGAGGCCTTAGATATAGAAATATAGGTAACTAGCTAGTTATACTATATTAATAATAACTAGCCTATTCTATATCTAACCTATTAAAATTTAATATAGATACTATAGGGTTTCGGGGTTTTTTCGTGGCTAGTTCGAAGGACATTTCTAAATTTTAATATATCTAATAACTTTTATAGCTAATAGCTAATTAAAATCTAATCGATAAGAATTAAGTAGAGAATAGCTAGCTTTTTACTACTATTTCGGAATAAGATAAAGATTTCTTGATTTTTTTACGGAATATAGAGACTATAGATTTTATATTATCTATATCTTCCTTAGGTACCTATTAGTTATACTCTGAGGGCTATTCTTTCTACTTAATAAGGAAGTATAATTTACTATATAATCGTTTCTCTTCCTTAATTTCTTTAACTTCCTATTTATTATTATCTTCTAGGTTAGGTATTAGTAGTAATTTATAACTATTTCGGTCCTATTACTCTATCTATAGTTTAAGATAGGATATATAGAATATATTATAAAGTCTTAAGTAT